GATCACTCTTTTCCCTTCCTCTTGCTACACTGACACACTAGATCAGAAAGGAAGCCAAGAACAATTTTCAAGGAAAAACTTGGGTTTCCTTCTATTAGCATTCACTTGCATTAAAACTGCCCCGGTTCTGCCTGGCTTATCTAGAAGACCATCATTTGCTTGTCAAAAGATTCACAAGCTTCAGCTACTTTGTTAGTGTATTTTCCAAAGTTCAGAGACCCTTCCATTGTTTGACAAATTTTGTATACTGCTCAGTGACAGGAATAGCGCTGCAATACTTTACAAATATGTGTCGCCATCTCAGCAAAGGACTCAATCTGCTGCTTTGTTTGAAAATCTATCTGCATTGTGTTCTAAATAAGCCATTTCCACCATCTTTTTACATTTCCTACCTTTGCAGTCAGGCATGTAGCTTCCTAATTCAGGACATGTTTCTTCATGGTACAGCAAAAAATTCTAATGCCATCAAAACACGGCAGTGTTATCTCTCATCTCCTTACTAACTTTTCCATTAAAAGGCAGCAGGTAGCCCTTAGATAAGGTCAGGAATCCATAAATTCTGTTTGAATGTAAGTGCAGATTTAAGTAAGGCACGTGAGTCTAAAGACATTTTTAGTAAGCCACAAGCAGCTCTACAAAACAGCTCTAAAACATAAGGATGGGAGGGGAATGATGGCAGTATAATCCCTCTTAGCTATCAATGAAAGTCCTGTATTCCCGTGTCAGTCTCATCAGTTGCAGATACTGACAAGGGCCGCAGACTGTGATAGCAATACACTTGCACATCTGCTGCACCTCTCAGCTTCCTGTACAGTTAGTTATTTGAAAGGAACATGGATTCCAGAAAGTGGTTTGCCTATTGTAAGCTTAGTCCAAGTTCTTCCTTTTTCTTTTCCCATTGGACAACTTCATCACATTTATAAAGTGTACTCGTGGCATTCAGCAACTTAGTTCACCTCTTCCAGCTATGTAATGGCTTTCTAAGGACCTTGATCAGGGAACTTAGAGATATTCTTTTGTATCACATTTGATGTACCATATGAATAGCAAATGGTGTACTGTTATATAAGACAGTTTCCTTGAACTTGTTTTCCTTGCCTAACTCCCTAAGAATCAGCACATGGCTGCCATCGCTTCTTTTTCCAGAGTTCCTTCTAATCCAACAATGCTGTCCCACTCAAAGGGGGAGAACCATGGACTCTCACTGGCACTTAGGACCAGGCAGGCACACCGCAAGTAGAGTAAATGCTGATCCCGGTTCTGAATATGTAGTCCATAAAAACGTGACACATTATTTTAAAGTTCCCTGTCTTCATTAGCCTACCAGCCTGCAGACGCTAAGCGATGGCCCAGAATCACCTAAACTCAGAATTTTTTTCCTAAAAGCCTCAAGGAGGAGATGACATAAATTTAGCTCTTTCATCTCTGTGAGCTGCCAAGTTACCCTGCAGAAGTCTGGCAACACAGCATCCGTGACTGCTTCTTGTCTCTGAATATCAAACAGCAAAATACATTGGCACCATAATTCAGGTGTACATTTGCTACAAGCATCCCAGGAAGGGATATGAACATGCATCTCAGAATTACTCATATGAAACAAACTTTGATTGATGTACTAAATAGGGCTTGGCAGACGTTACCTCAGCCCCTGTACCCTGATAGCAGTGGACACTCTTCCTGCCTAACTCTGCTGTGATCATGCAGCGTTTCCCCCCTTTGTTTGCTCTCAGTAACCGCTGCTGTTCACACAAGTGGAACTCACACATGAGAAGTAAGCAGGCAGCTTGATGAGTTCGCAGCAAAGCTTTTCCCCTTTCTGACTCAAGCATACTCTTGGCCCTATAGCCATGAGAGCAGACACTTCCTATACGGGTTTTTACTAATTTAACTCTTTGTGGGTCCATCTGTTTCTGAGGCAGCTTCCTCCCATCTGACCTATCTGGTGGTATTAAATCACAGGTTGCTACGACCTCTGTGCTTGTGTCAATGGATTTACCTAAATGCCATTTCTTGGGATCCTCTCTGTGCCATTCTCCCTAATTTACTGTAACTGATTACTATTCAAATGTTCACCTAGCAATGATGAATAAATCATTAGCTTTCCAATCAACAAATCACTTTTTTTTAGAGTGTAAGGGCATATGTAATTCAAAGAATTGCTATAAACTTTCCAGGTCATACAAGTACTGATATGTATACAGCACTTTTTGAGGGAATTCTCCTAACGTGGTTGCAACTTCAGTAGTCATCACTCTCTTACTGTTTTGTATATACCAAACTTTTCTCTCTAAACATCAGAATATGCACACTGAAGGCTTCTGAAGAATCTATGATCTTTCCAAAGTTAAAAAGTTCTATTCATTTAACTATAAGCCTTTTTGACTTTTGGACCCATTAAATGTCTGACCCATTAAATGTTAGAGTCTATCTGAAATGTAAATTTCAGTTTTCTCCAGAACAGTAAAATAGGAATCAATATTCTCATTAAGCATCCAAAATTGAAGTAACATACATGCCATAATGCTTGCTGCCATGTAAGCTCCTTGCTATGTTTCTCCCTGGATTTCCAGCCTGGGTGCTGAGAGGCTGAGAGCTGTCCTCACACTAAGCCTCCACCTAGCAGGGAGTGCACACTTGGACCCTGTGGAGTTCTGTCCCAGGAGTTTTAGGCTGAATGCTCTTCATGATCTGGCTGATCAGCTGTGTCCTGGTTAACCTCCCAGTGGTTCAAGCTTTATCTTTAAATAGTTCTGTAATCTTCCCCTTTGGGAAATGGCTATATTCCCTTTCTCTCATTGTTTTCTTTGATTCAATTTGTTTCTGTGGCTGAAACACTAATTCAAACTGCTGATGTTACATTCAGTCCACCATCTCCTAGCCAGGTATTAGCGATATGCAAAGTTTTACACAGCAATCTCATTTCCAGTCTCTCAAGTTCTCCTTGAAGCTTCTAGGCACTGCTGCTTTGTCAAGGGCACATTTCTGCCTCCCGTGAATGGGAAGATCAGCCCTTTGGGACACAGCACCATCTAGTGAAGCGAACTAGCTCAGATCTTCACAGGGACTTGAAACAGATTTCACTGAATTTCACTGAATTTTAGAGTTGGAAGGGACCATAGAGATCATCTAGTCCAACTCCCCTGCTGAAGCAGGATTGCCTAGAGCTCAGATCCTCATAGGGACTTGAAACAGATGCTGCCAGCAGTACTCACAGTGGCACAAGCTGCCTTTCACAAGAGGCCAGTGTTTATTAGTCATCTGGAATCCATCACAGGAAGCTCTTTGGTTTGCATGGCAAAGCACAGGCAAAATCTTTAAATGTAATTGCTCTCCAAGCCAAGTTCTCATATTTCAGTTGTCTTGTAAAATTTGTCTCTATACCCAGTGATTTCTAAATCCCAGAATCAGCACCTTTGGGCCATGTCTTTTCATTGCAGGCTTCGTTTTCTACTGTCCCCACAGAAATCTGAGGAACCTGCTCCCTCTTGCACACAACCATTTGCTCCCACCTGAATGCGGTTCCACCACTGTTGCTGGAATTAACTCCACACATTATTTCCTGTAATGATCCCTGCTAACACCTTCCCGTAGTCACATCATACCTGTTGGGCAATGGATCCCAGGAGGCAACAATACAAAATCAGTCAGACATGTTAGTCATAAATGAATTTATTTTTTTGCATATTCCCCATAGCATGTAAATTGTTCCCACATCATTTCTCTAGCCTGGCTAATGCCGTATTTTCTGGTTCCCATCGTTCAACATGGTGATGCTGCATCTCTCCAGTTGTTCGAAGAATAGTTCTTTACTCTCATCCGTGAATTACTCGGGTGCACTTTTCAGGTATTTATTTGCTTTATCCCTCCCTATTGATCCTTTTCCATACAATGTCAAGAAACTCCCTTCAACTGGACCTGGCTGCCAGGATTCATTGCTCACTCACCACGTTTCTAAGATTTCACTTTCATGTTTTCAGTTAAACTGTCCCTTATGCTCATCATGATGATGAACATGGCAACATAGCTGGTTTCCTTCACATCCCTCCCAAAACCCTTTATGATAATGCCTGTGAAGAAAACACATCGGTTGCTATGGCTGCCTTGTACAACATTGATAAATATGGCCTGGTTGTTTCGTGGTTTGCCACCTTTTTTAATAGACAGATATAGCTGTTTAGAGGATTACCATACTTTCATCTTTATCTGTAATTGTGCAGTAGGCAGGCTCAGTGATGCAATTAGTAAGTTCAAAATGACATTCCTGGTTGATATACATTATTGAAAAACTGTCTCATAAGGTACCTCCTGACCTTGTCCAAGCTTCCTCCAGCAGCCTTTGCATGGCAAACAACCTCAACACACAATGCTTTTTGATAGCAATGGTCCTAGCCGCTGCCATGGCACGTGGTACCCATGAAGCCTCTTCAGCTGCCTCTTGGCAGAATGTAGCCTCAAAGAGAGAAGGCTCTCTCACCTGCTGGAGAGAGGTGCAAGGATCCTTCCAGCTGTTTGAGGCCCTTCTGGCTCCTACAACCCAAGCCCCAATCTGAAGACTGCTTCCCCAGGGGATGAAGGCAGATTTCACAGAATCACAGAATTGTAAGGGTTGGAAGGGACCTTTGGAGATCATCTAGTCCAACCCCCCTGCCTAAGCAGATTCACCTGGAGCAAACAGGTGACAAACAAACCTGCTTCAGTTTGTTCCCCTTTCCCCTTGTCCTGTCGCTGGGCACCACTGAAGAGTGTCTGGCCCATCCTCTTGAAACCTGCCCTTTAGATATTAATAAGCATTGATGAGATCCCCTCTCAGTTTTCTCTTCTCCAGGCTAAACAGACCCAGGTGTCCCAGCCTTTCCTCATAAGAGAGGTGCTCCAGCCCCTTGATCATCTCCATAGCCCTCCTCTGGATTCTCTCCAGCAGGTCTCTGTCCCAGAACTGGACACAGTACTCCAGATGTGGCCTCACCAGGGCACAGTAGAGGGGGAGGACGACCTTTTTGATGCACCCCAGGAGACCACTGTCCTTCTTTCAACCCTCCGCCAACCCCTCCGGGAGCTCTCATCCCGCAGCCGGGCCCCAGGGACTCGCGGCCGCCGTTGCCCGGGGCCGTTGCCTTGGCGACGCCGCCGCGTTCCCTCCGCGGCCGGGCCGGATCATGGAGGATCCCACTGGGCTGCCGCTCCCCGGCTCCGTCCCGCAGCCCCCGCCGGCCGCTTTCTTCGGGGACGTGGCGCCGGGCAACCTGGTGGTAGACAGCTTCGAGGCCGAGCTGCGGGACGTCCTGGGCTTTCTGCGGCGGCTGCGAGGCGCGGGGGAGGCCCAGCCGCGGCAGCACGACCTGCACCGCCGCGGGTAGGAGCTGCTCCGCCGCCCCCGCGTCGCCACCCGCTGCGGGAACCCCTGCCTTAACCCCCATCCTTCCTCCTTCTGCAGCCCCTTCCCCTCGGCCGCCGGCTCCCCCCGGCTGTCCCCGCTTGCCATTCCCCCCGCCGCGCCGCCTTCCTCGCCCCCCGCCTCGCCCCGCATCCCACAGGCCAGGGAGCCCCTTCCCTCCGGCTCCCCCTGCCTTGGAGGTGGCCAAGAGGTTATTCCCCTGGGTCAGTTTCTCCAGCAGCGTGCCAAAAGATGGAGCAATCCTTTCCCCCTTTTCCTTTCCCCCTTTTCCTTTCCCCCTTTTCCTTTCCCCCTTTTCCTTTCCCCCTTTTCCTTTCCCCCTTTTCCTTTCCCCCTTTTCCTTTCCCCCTTTTCCTTTCCCCCTTTTCCTTTCCCCCTTTTCCTTTCCCCCTTTTCCTTTCCCCCTTTTCCTTTCCCCCTTTTCCTTTCCCCCTTTTCCTTTCCCCCTTTTTTTAAAAACCCTTCAAAATCTGACCGCCTCCTTCTTCAACACTTCCTAGAAGTTAATGCTTTAAGGGAAAAAGCACAAGGTGTTGTGGAAGTTGGCAGCACCACTGCTTGCTGTGTACCAGAGCTGCCTGGGCTTTCTGGTAGGAAAATCCCTTGACGGCATTGGAGCCCCTGGCAGCCCACCAGCCTGCGCTCCGGCGTGCGAGGGTGAAGATGTGTGGGCATGTACGTGCCTCTAAAAGATGGCGCTCACAGTAGGGCCACTTGAGGATAACACTGCACAGCTCTTTTTGTGCATACGTCTGTGTCTACGCTGGTATATTTTTATACACATAGATGCGGGCAGAGCATATGGCAAGTATACTTGTGCATCTTTGTTTCCTCGCATATGTGCATATCTGTGGGTATGCATAAATCTAGATTTTGTACTGCAGTTGGAGTAGAGCAACTGGAATCAGTGTATGACTCATAGTGCATGCATATGTCTATTATAGACTGTGCATTTCTCATGTAGCCCTCCCTGCTGCATTTAGGTACATTATTAGAGAAGAGTTTGACTGCCTCTTTTGAGGTAAATGGTTGGTTTTCTATCATTATTATCTGAGCATTGTTCTATTCTAAATTTGCAGGTCTTTAACAGAAGTTTCCTGGGTTATCAAAATTTCATGCAAAACCAGCACAGGAGTTAGGTTACAGGGGGGTTAAGTGCATCACTTAGGTGCAGCTTCTACCCTTACGCATTTCACTTGGTACTTTCCTAGATGTAGTCCACATATGACCCCTCTCTAAAGGACCTGTATACATTTTCAGGAGCTGCTCAGATTCTGCAGCCTGGCATTTGTCTGCACTGGAGATCTTTCCTTTTCTAAGCTCTCTGAATTTCTGATTTATTTATGTGGCCTGTTCATTGTCAGGTATAGGCCTAGATCTATCACACAGGTATCAGCCTCCAGGCTTTTGCCTCTAGTGTTTTGAATCTCACTATATTGGCTTTTTATGTTGCTTCATCAGCGAATTTCAGTGCTTTGCTATTTTTAAGCCTTTCTGTAGCTTCAGACCTTTTTTGTTTTAGCTGATCTGTAGTCTTACTTTGAAAGTTATTCACGTTAGGCCCCATAGGAGAAGGACAGCTCAGCTGCTTCAGACACCACTAAAATTGCTGGTAACGAACACATTGTATTTTCTACATGTTCATTATGTCTCTGGTTGGGAGTTGGGCCTGCTGAATCTGATCCGTTTGCAATGTCATGCCAGGTTACTGCCAGTTTTGGTAAAGTGTCTCTAAGCCTTTGTTTACCCTCTGGAACAGGACCTGAGTAGGCTCTGTCTTATTCAAACTGCTATTTTGTAGATGTGACCCATGTCCCACATAACACGGCTGACGTGAGAGCATCCTCTCATACAAAAAATTCTGCAAGATTCGTCACAGAGATGAGAACTCAGACTACCTGGGTTTTGATCCCAGAAGTCACTGGTAGTGATGAGGCATACCAAAATTCCAGGGCATTGAGAATATTGTGTAACATGAAGCTCCCAGTAGCTCTGCATCCTCTGGCATTCTTCATTTGTCTAGGGGCAGTACAGAGGTAGAAGACTGGAATTCTGATTGTTAGCATAGGTTCAGGCAGCTAGTGAAGTCATGGCCATTTATTTGTGACTGTGAAATTTCAGGGTTGTTTCTCCCTTGCCTCTCATTGTTTGATAACTCAAAATTGGAGTGTGTGCTGCTTGCAGAACCAGCCTTAGTCTAATTGTTCCTCGGAAATTCTGAAGGTAATGGCTATTACAGATGCTTTCCTAAATGCTCTAAAGACTTCTTGCTGTGTCATTTGTCAAGCTACTTTTCAGGGCATGGGTTGAGATCAAAGTGTTCTTGTTATTCAAGAAGCAAGAAAACCAGCTTCCACGCGGCCAGTATGTTCAGTTTAGAAATATAAAATTGTCAGATTCATTCCTCCAGTGCTGTCAGCCTTTGGTGTTGATAAGTCAACAGTAAGGCCATAATTTAGGCACTTAAAATGTTTTAATGCAAGAAACAAAAATTACTGAGTACCTGCCCTTAGTGGAGTCACGTGTCTTTTCAATCAGAAGTAGCAATCAGAAGTACTTTCCCTTCAACTAAATGAGAAGTTGTTTTACCCCATTTCTCTTGGCAAAGGGTCCATCAAAGGATTACCTTTAACTACTGATTGTGTCTCATGTTACCTCATATCTCATGTGGCTTAGCCCCCCTTATTAAATAAGACATCTTTTGATCAGTATCAGAGAATCCTTTACTACTTGTAGTAAAGACTTTTGGCCCAGAAATATAGCCGTGGGGGCCTTGCCTTGTGCCCTGTTGCACACTATTATGGGTTGACCTTAGGGAAATTTTTTTTTATTATTCATGGAGTTGTTGGAAATGAAAAAACTTCACCTCTGAGCTCCAACAGCCCAGTATGTTTTTTTAAGAATTCACTTGCTTAACTTGTTATTCTGGTGTCCTACAGCCTCTTTAAAGGAAAGGCTGATGAGCTGTTTGGGAAGTGTCTCACTCTCCTCCTTTGTCTGTGTCAAAGAAACATTCCTATGTCATGAACTGTCACTTGCAGTTAGTCATGGCATTGTAGCAGATACAGTTTACCTTAATCTTCCTGTTGAAGTTGAAAGTCTAGTCAGATTTGTCACTGCTTTACTAAACCAGTTTATTACATATTTGTTACTTGCTTATTGCATCTAAGAATCACATGTGTTAATATGAGCATTCAAAACAAAAAATGAAGACAACCTTCATTGAGGACTTTCCAGCTGTTCAGTCTTAAAGAAGTTTAATAGTCTCACCTTCTCAACTTTATCGACAGTCAATCTTAACTATCAGTTCCTTTAGAGCCTTACAACCTGATAATTTTTACTTTTTTTTTCCTCCTTCTTTCTTCCTCACCCCCCAGCAGTATCCATAAAACCTCTTGGACTCTGGAAGTCTTTTCCTGAGTTTCTTCCCTTGATAGTCCAAGGGAACTTGTCTCGGATGTCAGACAGGTTCCTTTGCTTTGGAGCCTCTTTGCAGATTTATCCCTACTAACTGGAGTGGGATACTTCCCTCAGTATAAGAAGTCAGTAGCCACCCAGACTCTTAATTGCTTATGGGTGGACCAGGAGGAACTCATTCCGTGTTCGGAAGGTGCTCTTCATTAGATGAGGCTATGGTTTCCTTTAAAAACATAATGCCTTAGAACATTTTATTCAGATTGTTGTTTTTGGCCTGGTTTGTGCTGTTACTGCATTTTTCCTTTAGGATACACCTGTAGAATGTCCTACTTATTTCTTTGCTGTTTACTTTTAAGAACTGAGAATTGTGCTGAGATGACGCTTTTAGAAAAAAAAAAGATTATGATGTTGTAATTCTTTGGTGTAAAGATCATTTTGACAGGCTTCTCATACAGCCATCTGTTTCACCTTGAAAATGTGAAGGTGGCTCGCTGTTTTCTCTGTGGAAAAAATGATGTTACTTATTGTGCTTTTTTTACTGGGAATCTTCTTATAAGGTGAAATGAAGAGCTGTCTAGGAGACTGTGAGAAAGTATTCCAAGTTCCTGAATGTCAGAAAACAGCTTAAGAAAGTGTCTTACATTCTAGTCTACCATCACTGTGTTAAGAGATTGAAAAGTTACAGCTACCTCACACCAGTAAACATAAGGTTTACATGTGAGAATTCAGCTAGAAGGTTATTTTAAAACATCAATGCCTCTCTCTTCAGTTGTTTTCTCTCCTCATAAATTGCTACCAGTGAATAATTTAGCTGTTGTGGTTTCATAAGGCATTCTTTGCTGAGGTTTCTGTACAAGTGCTTTGTTAAGAGAATAAATGTAAGATATGCCTGGCACTGTGAACACTGTCAATACTATTAAAAATTTGGTAACTATCAGTCTATCTGATCAATTTTTGTTCTCCAGTTTGAATATAGCTTTCCTAAAGAAGTCTACAGTGGGGAAGTTGTACACGTGAAGGTACTAACGCATCAAACAGCAATCAGTAGGGACCATAACACTGGCATTGATGTAGTCAGTTCCTCTGTAGAAGAGGCAAACTGCTTAGAGCCAGTTGCCAATTATGGGAGGCTTGCTAGTTCAGTCAAGTCAGTGATTTGTTACACAAAGTCATCCTTGATGAAAACTGTGGCTAGAATAACAGGCAAAGGCAACAGAAGAGCATTGCAACTATTGCCATAAAATCCTTTCTATTTTAACAAACGTGTCATTTGCTTCTCTCTGAATCCTACCCTTTATGATTTAAAATTCCTGAACGTTTCACACCAAATACAATTCATCCTAGAGGCTTTCTAATGACTCTCTTCTTTTGTGATTTATGGTACAGCTCTATACACTATGAGCTCTACAGCTCTATGTACTCTATAGCTCTGTGGTTTATTCCATGTCTACCAGTTCCTAGGTTTGCTGCTGCCTGAGGTGCATTGTTAATTTGGGATCATTATCCCTGCTCTTAGCATTTGTATTTTCCAGTCCAATAATTGCTGTGAGCTGTAAATTATTGAGTTTCTTTAAGATATGAAATTGTTTCTTCAATCAAACAGAACCTCTCAAATACTGGCTCAAAGGTGAGGCAGATTTTCCACTTATGAGCATCTTTGAACAATGCAAGGGGATAAATGCTAAGATATTTTAAAAAGAATTTGCACAGGAGATAACTCATCCTGTTTTAAATGTGTGTTAAAAACTGGTGACAGAAATGAAACCCAGAAATGTCCTTGGCTGCCTGTTATATCTTGTTTTAATGATCACTTTTTTTGAAATACATAGAGGCTCAAATAGATTTGGAAGAAAGGAGTTTTCACAGTTTGAAGTTTTCCTGATTTATTTACTTGTTGTGACAGGTCTACTGCCAGTTTAATTTGGAATCTTTTCTCCTGTATCTTTTTTAGAGCAAATACTTTGTTTAATATTTGGATCAAATATAAGCCTCGACTGCCAGAGTGGTATTACAATGAGAAACTTCTGAAAGTTGGTGATTCCCTTGCTCAGATCAAAGTAAGTTGTATGAAAACAGAAATGGCTCAATCACAGTCTTTGCTTCATTATGTTTCTATGCTACTTTAATTTTTAATCATACTTTAGTGAAATCATTCTCTGCAGCATATAACACTGTTAGAATCACTCTTTTCACCTAGAAAAGTGTATAATCAGAAATGTACCAAGATAGTTTGAGGGGCTATCTTTTGGAGGAACACATCCAGTGAGACTGTTTTCCACTATTATGTCCTTCACTTATGGAATCCAGCAAGAATAAATGCTATTTATGCTATTTATGGAAAGCATATATAAGTGGCTACTGGGGCATGCTTCAGACCTGGGCAAAGGTATGAGTATCATGCAGATGTTACAAAATCTTATATCTCCTTCACTGCCCTAATGATTTGGGCAAAAGTGTCCTGCCTCCTGAATAACAAACAGCAAGCTGAAGCTGATCTTCAGCAGCACTCAACTCTCACTGGTAGGCTGAAGAAAACATATAGAAGAGTCTGGAACTGTGGAACCATTACAATAAAGGTATAGGCTCATGGTATACGTTTAGGAAGACTCACAGGAATTCTTAAGGAAGCTTGTGTGACTGCATTTAGTAATAGACCCTTTATTCCCTAGGCAATTCCATTAATGTTTTCTTCATGTTTATGTTTTCCTCAAGTTTTCATAGCTTCTGAGCCTTAGGAATTGCTTGGAATATTGCACTGAGGTTGTAACTGTTTGGGAACTGCTACTCTCAGAGCATGCTTAGTAAGGTTACTTCAAAGGCATCAAACCCTGCTCTCTGTGCTTTGCATTGGCTTCCCATAGCACAACTCAAATGTAGTAATACGGTCCTAATCTTCAAGGTGCTTCATTACCTGGGCTTACATTGCCTAAAAATAACACAGAATTTTGAGTAAAGACTTCTTCTTGCCACTTCAATCCTCTAGTGTAAGTGGTTTTCTATGGAAAAGGTAAAGTTACCACTGTCGTTGAAAAAGTTGTTTTGCTGGCCAGCCTAAAACTTTGAAATGAGCTGTCTTTGGAAGTCCCTTTTTTAAGTGCATTTCTTTGACTTTATAAGCTTAGTTTTCATTTTATGCATTTTTTTTTTTCCCTGGAGAAAAAAAGAAAGAAGAAAACATGAGATGGATGCTAGTTATAAATTTTAATGCATTACTGGAAAGATGAATGTGGTGTAACACCAGTCTGTGATAGGTAGGGTAGAGCCTGTCCCATAAGTACCTCTCTTGACTCCTAGTTGAAAACTACTGGTGATTATTTTAAATTTTAATCTGCCTTTATGTTATATAATACTTAGTGATCTGTAGTCTTTAAAAATGAATTATTGAATATGAGTAGTCAATAGGTAAGCACAAACTTAACTTTCTTTCTGCAATTTTTCTAATGCCATCTCACTTTGGATTCCTTCCTATTATACATCTGCTATGCATCTTTTAGGACACACCTAAATTCATTATGTCATATATCTGGAAATTAGTTAGCCCATTAGTCAGCATACTGATCAGTACTGACTCATTTTTTCCTGTCCCTCACTGCCTGTATCTGCCTGTCGTCTCTGGTCTTATACATATATTTTAAACTGTTTGAGAGAGAAATTACTGTTTTTTGCTGCAGATTAGTAACTAAATTAATGGTATTCTGATCCATGGCTTCAGATCCTAAGAGTCATCACAGCCTGAATCTATGTATTAGATTACACAAGACCTGCCCGAAGCTCTCAATGGAAAGTAAAAGTTTCTGTGTGTGGCTGCTGCTTTCACACAGCAAAGAGGACAATAGGGTTATCTGAGTTAGACTCCTCAGATGATTAAAATTTCAGGGTGTTACCATGGCAGTAGGAATTTATATTGAAAAAAGTGAGTGCAAGGAAATACTTCCGTATTTTCTGTGATTAATGGATCAGTTTTTATGAGTACAAATCAGTTACTTTTTCCCCTAGAATTTATCATGACTGATGTGTGTGTGTGCTAGAATTAGTAAAGATGGTAGAGAAACTTCTAAATAATCTTCGCTGCAGGAAGTGGTGGAGGTGATTCAGTAAGTGGCTCTTCCACATCTGAGTCAGAGCTGAACCATAGTCTCAGCATGATGTTACAGTGGTTTGACATGCTGCTGGGGAGCTGTATTTTGAATGAGGCATAATGCTCAACATCCTGCTTGTTAACAGTTCTTAAAGACCCACTGGCAATTTCTGGTCTATTAGTGCTGACTTCTTGGCCTTATGTAAATTCTGGTTGTCATTTCTTTTGTTCTTTTTTACTGCATCTTATTCTGAAGTGTTTGCTTTCTGATATTAAGTCTCTTTTCCTTCTTCTCTGGTTTAATAACAAAAAGGCTTTGACATCAGGGAAACAGGGGGCAGAGAACTGATGATGTCTGTATATTGTTTATAAAGTTCTACATTATGAAGTATTTTCTCAGAAGTGTAGTATCATTATCATTACTGTTGCAAAGCTGCAGGAGATTTGAGGAACCCTTTGAGTTTATTATATTAACCCTGGATAATACTTTACATATATATTTTTTTCCAGATCTCTGTTATGTCATATTTATGATTAAAAAAAACCAGGAACTCCCAAACCACAAGGTCTTCTTTTAAGTACTTCAGCCTTTCATATGCTGAGTGTTCACATTAGAAGTTACATTGCTGAATGTTTGTATGAAACTTTAGTGCTGTACTTCCAGCTGTTCTTACACACTGATACTTTTTTACATAAAGATAATAATAAAACCCCCACATGGAGACATTAAAAACCCACCTGGACAAGTTCCTGTGCAACCTGCTCTAGGTGGACCCGCTTTGGTGGGGGCGTTGGACTAGATGATCTCCAGAGGTCCTTTCTAACTCCATATGATTCTATGTTAAATAGAAATGTAATATGCAAACTACAAAAAATAACATATTATTCATTCTTCAGGAATATAAGTTGGCACTTCTACAGTGCTATGGAAGATACCTTCAGCAGTTTGTTTCTGTAAAGTCTGATGACATCATAGATGATGTGGATCGCTTTAAATCCACCTTTTTCCCAAATGGTCTCAGGGATAAAAATGCAGCACTTACGGTAGGTTTTGGGTTGGTGTTTGGTTTTTTGTTTTTGTTTGTTTTGTCAAATACATTCACAGATTCAAAATAAGTAGTCTATTTTATACTCAACAAATATACTTAATTTTATGTTAATTAGATATTGATATTAACTAATTTTTAATAATTTGTCTCTATAGATTACATTGAGATTTAAAAGTCAGTGATATGTATGAGATGAACATCCAGAATTGGTGTCCATTTTAAGAGGATATAAGTATTTATGCTTTTGTGGTATAAGCCAGCCACTATCAATTTAACATTAAAAAGGCAATTTTCTCTCAACAGGTTATTCTGTAACTGTCTACAGCCGGTTTTGCTCAAAACTAGTTTCTATTTACCATAGAAACAGGATATGGGCAAAATTTGATAACTGTCCTCCAATTGTAGAAATTTCTGTACAGTGTAATCTTAAGGACTGGACAGAGTGCAAGAGAATTAAAAAATTGTACCATAATTTGTACCATAAATATGCAAAAAATACTACATATGAAAAAAGCTCATGACATAGTAAAAAAGCAGTATTGCTTTACTATTAGTAGCTTATTTACTCACTATGGAAAAAAAGAGGCAAAATGGTGAATATATTTTTAAGTTCTCTGAACTCTGGGGAGCTGAGCGACCTCAAGAATATGTTGGGATCCTTTTGTGTTAATTGCTTATTGAGAAGCTTGCAATTTGTCATTTGTTATCCATGGAAGAAGTGTTTCAATAGGTATAAAGGGAATGCTAAAAACATGTTAGATTTTATCCTAAGCAGTACTTTGCTGAGAAGCTCTATTTTCAGTACATAGTTGATATTTCAGAATAAACTAATGCAAGTCACTCTGTGATCAAGAACAACAAAAGGAAATCATGGGCATCTCCTGTGTATTGAGCTAATCAAATCCATATTTCTCTAGTCAGAGGTAGGTTGTAAATAGGTGTTTAGTGAGAAAAAAAGCAGACAGTTTACTTCAAAGCTAGAAGCAGATGTGATGACAGAAGAAATGCTCAGTTTATATTATTTTTTTTGTTTTTCAAACATGGTTCAGCTTGCTAGGCAGAATATGATCGCAGACTATGTTGATCTATTTTATTTGTTTTTTAAAAAATGCTTTGTAAATTAATTTGAAATTTTGCCTAGACCTTGAACCAATCATAGTGCCAGATGTTATCAAGAGTCTATACTAAAAAGCCCATTTTATACCTTGACCTCTAGACACTGGGATATCCCTAAATTTTCAGATGTGGAATCTAGTTTGACAATGATTTCTACAACTGGAAATGAATGATGATAATTTGTCAAATGATTACATCTAAAGGCTTTATATGTAATTTTTTTTGGCCACATTTCTGCAGGTAGCTTTTGTTTTTCAGTGTAACACTAAGGAAATGATAGAAACAGAGTTCCAGGGCTTAAAACTTCCAGTTTCAGTGAATTAACTGCAAAAAATAATATAATTCCAAATATTAGCAGGCTAGTAGGCTCCTGAGGGGTTGATAGATGGTGGTGGTGGTGTCCCACTAGGCTCATTTTCTCACATGTTGGTTTGTTCAGATGATACTGTACTCCAGACATGACTGAAATCACATTATGTGAGGTACTACAATTAAGAGAAGGAACAATGCATCTGTAGAAGAGAAAAGAATGGATGAGACTGAGAAATAAGAGCTATGATACAGGTGAAAAAGTAAAGTGCAGAAAAGTTAAGATTTGCCTTAACTTACAGAGGACATCTACAGACAAGAAAAGAATTAAAGCCAGATTCTTTGAATATCAATTTAATGCCTCATTCACCCTTTCTCCCTTTCAGCAGCCCTAGTGCACTGGGTGCATTTTCATCCTGTGACACAGTGGAAAATGAGTCAGGCTAATAGTACAGCAACCTTAAAGCTTTAACACTTTCTCATATTCTAATGCTCATTTCAATGTCATGCTGATTTTTCTTTCTGGTATACTTGATCTTTTCATACTCACCATTTTGTTGTACTTTGCTCATGTGAAACTGACATATGCATCTATTTTTACTATATATATTAATTTTATCTGTGTTTCCATATGATTTAGTTCCATGCTTTGCAAGAGAGAGATGGTTGCGTTTATCAGATGGTTTGCAGCGGTGACAGAAATCTCCAGAATCAAGAGTCCCTGCAGACTTGTTTCAACATCTTGTCCTCATTACGACTCACTATGCAAGTAGCTCTCCCTCAGGAGAGTTTGTCTTGGCTTATCTACAATGGTACCTTCGGTTTTCCATTCACATTTTTTTGCTAAGCAAACCCGTGCAACCTAAGCAAACTTTATAGATATTCTTTAAGGTCAACCTAATGGTCAGGAATAAATCTATAGTTAGTCTTTCATCACAGTAGGCTTTTCTGTTTGTTTGTTTCTCTGCGGGGTTTTTTTTTTGTTTGTTTGCTTGCTTTTGGGGGGTTTTTGTTGGTATTTTTGTGGGTTTTTTTAAATAAGGGATTTTTTAATTGAAGTTTATACATAGTGTGCCTTTTTCAGGTGGAGTGGTGTAAAAGTGATACCATTTTCATCATAGCTGTGGATAGAGTGTACTAATAAAATGAAATCTAACAGCATTATGAGGGTATTTTTTGAGTGAACCCTGGATTAAATAAAACCCTCAAGACTTTTTTAATCAATACAACGTTTATTTTAATGAGTTTGGGTTTTTTTGGGTTTTTTTGAAAAGGGGCTAGCAGATATAAGAGTAAAAACTGATTGCCTGGCATTACATCTCTGTGTTTTTTAAATGATCTTTTAAGGCTAGAGTTAATAATAAAACTATTCTAAAAAATACCATATGACATTTAAGAATTTGAATCTCTGTATATGATTTTAGTGTGTTACTTATAAATGCTTGAATTAAGAAAAAAATGAGGAAAAAATGGAAAATCTGTGAACTAGGTGTATCAAGCTTTTTATTTCAAGAACAACTGTATATTTTTGCTTTGAAAGGCAATGTTATTTAGTCAAAATACTATTATTAATTTGTTCTACTATGGTCAATTGTTGCAATATAAATTGTGGCGATGATGTGGTTTTAATTTAAATTCGGAAAATGCACTTTCTGCGAGCTATAATTGGTCAAAATTCATATCCTTTTGTTGGGACTGCCATTGCCCTCAGTCCCTACTTTTGAGGTGTGGTTTTGATTTGTCTGTTTCTATAGGAGAGGAATTAAAATTAAAACATAATCACCTGCCATTCTTAAGTCCCACCGTATGTGGGACAAGTCTCTGTACCGAGCCTGGCCAATAATCTAATCTAATTAGAAGCAGGCAATAACTCAGATTTTACCCAGTTCCTGAGCTTTTTCTGCAATTTCTGGCAATAGATTTTGTGCCTCATTTGACTGATAAAATGAAATCTTCCTAATGCTTGCTCCATTCTTGCTTATTGGGATAATAGCACCCTTCTAGCTATGACAGTTGACATTGTGATGCCTCCTGCTGCCACAGGTGTCCCTTTCTGAACATCCGTATAGACAGAATAATAGACTTCTCCCCTCTCTTCCCCCCGCACACTGCAATGTCTTTTATACTTCTGGGGCTGATTTTTGAAAAGCAATTTTGTGATATAGCAGAAATTAAGTAAATTTTTGACAGGATTTTATTTGTAAGTGACTTTGATGCTCTGGAAAGCTCTAGTCACAATCAATTTTCTTCATTTCACTTATCATACTTAATATCACATAATAGTGGTGTTGTCTGCCAGGACAGTGCCGTGACATACTAAAAGAATCATAGACGGTAAGGTCTGTGAGGAGAGGTAATATTTTTGTTAAAGAGGCTGGCATTTATGAATAAAACTAAGGTTTTTCTCTCTGTCAATTATTTAATAAAAATTTGATGTAGTACCTTTTTAAGATTTCATTCTTTTATTGGACTGCTTCATTGTGTAGGTATTTTTGAAACTAATATCGCCCAAGAATTTGATGACATCATACTTTCTAATAAAAAAATAATTATGGAAAAATCATTAGTTTATTTTTCAGCCTCTGGAAGTAACAACCTAGATATTAAGAACAAGTTTCAGTGTAGGATTATAGAATTTACCTGGTTTTTATTTATTTTAATTTATTTCTGCAGGTACCATTCATATATACACCATATGCAGACATTTGATGATGATAGGTCAGTCTGCTAAGGTATGGCAAAATAAACAGAAACACTTTTAAAAATTGCAGAAGAATGGAAAATTGTATTTTGCATAACACTGTATCCTGACTTTTTTATTTCATTGTCATTGCCAAAGTAGCACTTTGTCGCAAGGGAATAAAATGTCTAGATTGCAAAATGGCTGATTTCTAAGTCCTTCTGCCATTATGACTCTGCTCTTTCCTCAGTTGTATAATTCAGCCCAACATAATGGCTTGCTGGTCTTTGAGATGGGATATGTTAGGCTGTTTCAGAGGGTTCTAGATGCCTGTTTTTAGACAACTATTTCAAGTCCCACGAATTGGTCTTTTTTTTCTTAAAATATGGAAATATACTGACACCTGGTGGCTAGGTTTTTAGTTGTAAATACTTGATAAAAATGATCTGGCCTTTCCCCGCAACCCTTTTCTTTTTAACTGTGAATGTAATTTTTGTTTCTCTTCACTTTTTTATCCTAAAGCTTGAAAAAAAGTATGACTAAGCCTTAATCCAGTATATTTTCTTATCTGTTTGTTATATTAGTCTTTCATTAAGCAGGAAGGATTTTTTTTCTCTTTGAACATCTTTTATTGCAATCAGAAGTGATTTAACACCTCCTTTATTCAGGCTTTTATTATACAGGAAACAGAGGAACCGATTCTAGGTATTTCAGATTCTTTAAATTCAGACAAAAAGAATATCTGTATGTTGACGTAATTTAGGACTAAGGTTGTGCATCTTTTGTGTACCTCAGGGAACAGTTTGCATAGATAAAATACAAGGGGAAGATATTGTTCAATCAGTTTGGTAGGACTAATTCTTAAAATTGGACTGCTGCAATGACTATATTGGCCGTAATGTTAAGAGATGATTATGTAGTTCCATGACAGTCACCAAAGAAGACAGACTCCATTGCAACCCAGACAAGCTTGCTGATCTAGTTGAAAACTAACTTAGGAAAAAATTATTGCTAGAGCTGACACAAAAGAGAGGGATAATTCTCGAGATAAGAGCAGGTGAGGGACAATGGGAGCAGCTCTGTCAAAGTGGCTAGGCTATAGTGCACTGGAGTGGTTAAGGTAGGTTGGAAGCTAAAATATAGTGCTTGACCACAGTTTCAGATGGGAAAAAGCCAATAATATGCAGGAAGAATGCTTTGTAGACAATAAAACACATTAAAAATTAATACAATTTCTGTGATCTTTTTTGCTCTTTTATTTTATCCTACCAGATGAGGGTAAGTCTTTGTATGTGTCCTTTAGTAATAGGAAGTACATTTATATAGGGTAAAATGCATTCAGTTTAAAACTGGATTTCTTCAATACAGGTCCTGGAATACTTACTGTGGGCTAGTATATGTATGGAATTATCCATTCCACTTTTATCTGTACATTATTTGACATGGAGAGCAACCCTATATACTGCAGTTTCTCAGTGTTATTTTGATTGTCAAGACAGCATCCATGGAGAGGTAACCTCATTTACCATACATGTAATTTCAGATGCAATCAAATGGGAAACAAATATGTTTTCAAATATTCCTGCTTATTATCACATCGTATCTATTTAGAGTTCTGTCCGTATTCCAAAATTTAACTGCAGTTAAATTAAAAACACACAGTGGATGTGTGTTTCCATAGACTTTTGGCATTAAGTAGTGGCCAGGCCTCATGCATATATACAAAGGGTGTTTTGCAAGTTTTCTTTTCCTTTTCAATTGCTGTTCATGACTTAGGTTTCATTGCAGCTCTTTGCAGTTGTCTGAATTCAGGAATGATATGATTCTAAAATACCAACATATGGAACGTGAAAAGAGAGTATAATTTTTTTTTTTAATACTTTGGACAGATATTTGCTCGCCGTGGTCTGATTAAAATTGACGAACTAAAACAATTATCAAATATCAGTCCTTCATTGGAACATTCAAAGACACAAAAGATTTTTAGAGAGGCCACTCTAAAGGTATCATTCTGCAATTCATTATAAACAGAGTTACAATCTCTATGAAAAGAACATGAAACACAGTTATTTACTTACTTTTTTCTTTGTGTCAGATGTCAATAATGATTTTCAAGAGAGCAGTATATGAATCCAGAAGAAAACCGAAAAGCCACTTCCGATCTAAGCCAAGAGTTAGCCTGAAAGAGGCACAAAATGTAAGTCTAACATTTTGTATAATCTTTTTCTTTGTTTATGATTTGCATGTGATGAATATGTGATATAATTCTGTTTAATACATATGGTGCTATTCACGAAGAGAAAGTTTTATTCTTTCAGTTTCATAGTTAACAATTTATTATTAAAACTCAGAACAAACTTGAAAAGAGGGAAGATGTAGTAATTACTACTTTAGAAAATACTGATTTTTCTAGCATTTTTTTTTCTTTAGCAGTTATGTTAGCAATAAAAATAAAAGAACTCTTGTTCATACCAAGAGTGTGGGAGTCCAGAGTTGGCCCTGCTGTGTTAAATTATTGTGAAGATAGAGGGGTACTTTGGAAAAAAGCTACAGTGTTTTTAATTTTTTTTGTACTTACATTGGAGAACTCTCTTAAGTCTTGAGAGATTGTTTTTGAATCATAGTATGGTTTGGGTTGGAAAGAACTTTAAAGATCATCTAGTTCTAACCCTGCCATGAGCAGGGACACCTCCCACTAGACCAGGTTGCTCAAAGCCCCATCCAGCCTGGCCTTGAACACTTCCAGGGATGGGGCATCCACAACTTCTCTGGGCAACCTGTTCCAGTGTCTCACCACCCTCACAGTAAAGAATTTCATTCTAGTATCTAATCTAAATCTCCCCTCTTTCAATTTAAAACCATAACCCCTCGTCCTATAGCTACATTCCCTGATAAAGAGACCCTCCCCATCTCTCCTGTAGGCCCCCTTCAGGTACTGGAAGGCTGTTATAAGGTCTCCCAGAGCCTTCTCTTCTTCAGGCTGAACAACCCCAACTCTCTCAGCCTGTCTTTAAAAGAGAGGTGCTCCAGCCCTCTGATCATTTTCGTGGCCCTCTGCTGGACCCATTCGAGTAGGTCCGTGTCCTTCCTGTGTTGAAGACTCCAAAGCTGGACACAGTACTCCAGGTGGGATCTCACGAGAGCTGGGCAAAAGGGCAGAATCACCTCCCTTGACCTGCTGGCCACGCTTCTTTTGATGCAGCCCAGAATGTGGTTGGCTTTCTGGGCTGCAAGCGCACATAGCCAGCTCATTTTGAGCTTTTCATCTGCTGACACCCCCAAGTCCTTCTCCTCAGAGCTACTCTCAGTCCATTCTCTGCCCACCCTTTATTTGTGCTTGGGATTGCCCTGATCCACGTACAGGACCTTGCACTTGACCTTGTTGATCGTTATGAGGTTTTCACAGGCCTACCTTTTGGGCCTCTCAAGGTCCCTCTGGACAGCATACCTTTCCTTCAACAAGTCAACCACACCACACAGTTTGGTGTCACTGGCAAGCTTGCTGAGGGTGCACTCAGTCCCACTGTCCATGTTGCTGACAAAGAGGTTAAACAGTGCCAGTCCAACCCCTGAGGAACACCACTCATCGCTGGTCTCCACTTGGACATCAAGCTGTTGACCACAACTCTTTGAGTCCAACCATCCAACCAAGTCCTTATACACTGAGTGGTTCATCCATCAAATCCACGTGTCTTCATTTTAGAGACAAGGATATCATGTGGGACTGTGTCAAATGCTTTGCACAAGTCCAGGTAGATGATATCAGTTGCTCTTCCCTTATCCACCAGCCCTGTAAACATGTCATAGAAAGGCACCAAATTTGTCAGACACAATTTGCCTTTAGTGAAGCCAGGTTGGCTGTCACTGATCACCTCCTTATTTTCCATGTGCCTTAACATAATTTCCAGGAGGAATAATTTCCATGACGTTGCCAGACACAGGGGTGAGACTGACTGGCTTGTAGTTCCCTGGGTCCTCCCCTTTTTAAAAATGGGAAACTGATCTAACTTGGGAAAGTGCCAAATAAACAGAACTGAAGTATGGATGGATTATGAGCAACATTTTAAAGTACTATATCTCTGATTTACTTTATGTCTGGTAGTGGTTTGATAACCGTGTAAACAGAACATTGAAATAAAAATTTAAAATATTTTCTTATATCTATATAAGAAAAATCTATCTGATTTCTTAGCTGTCAATAGTGCAAGTACATTTTTGTGTGTTCTGCCTTGTATTTTTATCTTATGCTGTTTGAAATGTGCAAGTGAGAGAATATGATAGCATTTTGCTCTCACTGCAGTGCTGAGCATCCTAATCTTTCTCTGATTTTCTGCAAAGTGTGTAGAACTTAGCTACTTATGGTCAAGTCTGTATCATTTTAAGGCAAGATCTGGATGGCTTTAAACTCCATGGCCTTAATATTCTCACTCATAATTTCTACTGCATTATTTTCTGAGTAAAATACCATGCAGCAGTGTGTGTGGTTGCTATGTAATTATGGCACTTCTTAAGTATTGTACCCACTTAGCGTGAGGCTTTGCTATGCCTTTGGAGCATAAAATTCATAACAACAATATATTTTACAGTGTATTATTTTCTGTGTACTTCCTTTCTGAAGGTAAACTGTTTTGAAAGAAATCTCGCTTTATTGTAACTCGGTTTAGACAGTACAAGTCTTACATTACCTTTCCTTCCTTAGCTGCCATGGCCTCACACTACTACTGAAAGGCTGCTGACAGAAATGTTCGACGGTGCCGCAGCCCAGTTCCTTGCCATCCTGGAAGCTCTGTCTGATAGTAGCAGGCATGTGTTGCGCCCTGCTCCACCTGTGTCTGATGAAATTGAAATGCATGATGTCATTTCAGAGCTTTTTTTTGCAGGCCTGGAAATCCTCTCAGGTAACAGCATAAAGAAGCAAAAAGAGTGTTGGTGAGGAGCCCAGAGCTCAATTTCACTATTTTTTTTCTTTGCTATGAAAGAAAGAACTAGCCTGAAGACATATATTTCTTTTAACAATAACATCTCTAAGAGCAAGCAATCTTTTTTATCTTGATAAAATTTAAGATAAAACTGCGGGCCTGTCTCTGTTGTCTATTATATCAGTAAAAATCGACAGTAATTTATGCATCCTTTCTGAATAGGATGGAGTTCACTTTCTTCGTAGCAACCCATATGGTGCTGTGCCTTGCATTTGTGGCTAAAGCAGTGTTGATAACACACCAGTGTTTGGGCTTGCACAGCAGCAAGGTTGTCTCTCCAGCTCTCCTCCCAGCAAAGGCCAGTGGGCTGGGGGTAGGCAAGAGGTTGGGAGGGGACGTAGCTGGGAAAGCTAATCCAAATTCACCCAATGGCTATTTCCTACCATATGATGTCATGCTCAGCAATGAAAGCTGGCGGAAAGGGGGAGGAAAGGGGGACATCTGTGGTTATGATGCTTGTCTTCCCAAGCAACTGCTGTGCATCCTTAGGCCCTACGTTCTAGGAATTGACTGGACATCTGCCTGCCAATGAGAAGTATTGGATATATTCCTTTTTTGCTTTGTTTGCACACACAGCTATTACTTTTCTTATTAAGCTGTCTTTATCTCTGCCCATGAGCTTTTCCATCTTATATTATCTTCATATCCTTTTGAGGAGGAGGAATCAGTGAGCAGCTGGTTGGGGGTCTGGGAGTCAGGCAAGGGCAACCCATCATTGTGTTTTCATGTATTTTTTTTGTCAAAAAAAAAATCACTCAAAGTTAGATTTAAAAACTTGGGAAAAAGATAACTTGATGATACCCTCCAAAACTTTTTTTTTTTTGCTACGCTCTGGACTGAATATAGCCAAAGGTAGACAGATATTTTGTTAATAATATAGAGACTAAATGCAATTCAGAATCATAGTTAGAATAGCTAGTTAGAATATAACAAGTCAAATACAATATAAACTGATTTAATGAATTGTCTGTATTAAAGGTGGAATGAACAGTACTGATATTCAAGGAAGCTATTGCACTGATCATTTTGGTATAATTAATCCATCATCAACCCTTCTACAGTTGATACTAACAGGTAAACTACCTTTGAATTTTCAAAGATTCTATACCCAGCACTGGAAACACTTGGTTAGTAGAATTCATTCCTATGATAGTAGCAGTCCTATGCCTAAAGGAATTACAAATGCAGTCCTCTTTGGGTGAGAGATGCTTGTTTATATATATAATGTTAGGGCATTCAAAAGGGGTTATTATGTACAGATAGCATTATGATTTTCTTAACACAAGTATTATTTAAATATCATACAGTAATGTATGGTCATTGTGATAACATACTATTCAGCATAGCAGTTCATCTAGATATTTCACTGCCCCTAAACAACCATTCAAAGGCCAAATTCGTCAATGATGTCCTTATATGTTCTTATGGAAGAGAAGTGTGATGCAGCAACAGAAGGACTTTTGTAAGCTTGTTCAGATTCTTGGATCAATCAGTGTACTGTTTTGGAAAATAACAGCTGTCTGTTACCAAGTGAATATTGCTAACATATTTTAGCCGAGTTACCCAGGTGATATGAGACTGACTGTGGCATATTCTTTTTTTTTACTAAATTTCTGGGAAGAAGAGACATTATGGGGTGATACCCAGATTTAACCTCTTTCTGCAAAAGAAAGAATGAGGTCCTTCATATGCTCTACATGGGTATGTTAATATCAATAATAGTATAACGTCTTTGGGATGTAACAGGACATTGCAAATACATCATTAAAGTAGTATATAGCATAGATATTACAGCAAAATAATGAAGCTATTGTATATTTTAGAGCTATTAAAAATACCTCAAGATTATCCTTGACTATTCAAAACACATGTGGAATTTTATCTTTGTATTTATCAATACCCAAGTTATTGCTTAAATTAAACTTCTGGATATATACACATAAAACAGATAAAAAATTTTTGTCATCACTGCAGGAGAAAAGGGGGTGTCTGGAGATGCTGCTGTGAAATTTATAAAATTAGCTTTCAGCTATGAAGAGTGGGACGTGTTTGATTCTGCTATTGAATTTGTTGTTAATTTTCTTCAGGTAATACAGATGCTATTTAGAAATTCTTTATGTAGTCTTTTCCTATGAGGGTAAGAAAGACCATTCAAATCACATATTTTAAGGTCAAATTTCTATTGGTTGTTTCTGTCAATTAGGCTCAAGATGACCCAACATGGAAGAAAGCTGAAATGGAACTCAAACTTCTTACACTGATGCAACCTTTACAATTTCCAAAAAAATTTAAACACAGTTTTTCTATTACTGGTGGAAATAATACTGAAGAAGCTAAGATGCCTCGTGGTTCTAAAACCAAGCAAACATTCAGAAGTGAGTGTTGTTCAAGTATAGCTGTGTTTGCATTTCAAATGTTTTTACAGCATGAAACTTTGTTTATTATTTAAAAACTACATAATATGGTGCACGTGGTATTCCATGACAAAAACTAGCAACTGAGAAATTGCAACCTACTGATTTTTTTCCAGTTTTCATTTGCCAAACAGGACTTTATACCATTTTCCTTGACTGTGAAATACCATGCATATTTAACGTACATCATGTTATATGTTTTCAGACAGTTTTTCAGGAAAAAAGTGAAACAGACATGTTTGACTTTCTTTTGTCTTTACAATTCATTTATGTAAAATTTCTTGGCATCAAAGCAAGAAAATCTTGTAAAGCAACTGTAATTTAATGGTATAACATTCCAAAAACTGGAAATATCTTGAAAACTTTCCATTTCCAAAATTAGCAATGCTCACTTTTCACAGAAAGTGAATAATTTTGGGAATATCTGTCTCCTTTGTATGTACTTTAAGAAAGTGTATTATCTGCTAGCATAAATTGGTAAATCGATTCACTCATGTTTTCAAATGTAGTTTTGTAAGTAGAAATAATGTCTTGCCTTTCCTTTTCTTCCTTTTTTATAAACATTGATTGTAGAGGGTTCCATGAAGCACAGAGAGCCTTCTCATGATCTTATGATTTTGGCAACAACAGTGTTTTCCTGTGTCTGCACATCTAAGCAGGTATAATAAGAGACATTTCTTCTGAATCAATCACATAATCTGTAATGAATATGTATAATTTAAGACCAAATGAATCAGTTGCATGGTTAACAAGCTGCAAAAATGAAAGAGCAAAAATGAAAAAAATATAACCATAGATATGATCAATTTCTGATTAAACAACAATTAGTATTTGTTTCATTTTTTTTTAAATTTTATTGGTGCTGTGTACGCAGGCTACTTTAAAAATGCTACTTTAAAACAGCTATTAGATCCAATTGGAATATCATAGAGCTAATTGCAGTTTCAGCTAATCAAACAGAGATCAAATTTCTTATATTAGATTTAGGTGGGCAAATATGCTCAGCTGTAGAAAACATTTCTGCAATAGTTATAGAAATGGGAGTAGTGCCCCTAAGGAATGATATTGCCTTTTTAGCAGCGGTATGCCTGCAATTTAGGGTAAATTCTCTCTGCAAACAAGCAAGAAAGCAAACAAACAAACAGCAGCAACAACAAGACCAAAGAGAGTGGGACTTTTTGTGCTGAAGTCTGTACTGCAGAATAATTCCATTATATATCTGATAGTTTATTTCCAGAGTAACTACTTTTAGCTTACTTGTTCAAACTGAGATTTCCCTTAATGTGCTACTGTGAGGGGAAAAAAAAATCACAGTGCAATGTATCCACTAGCAGTTACACTGAATTAGTCTATGATCTAAAAGACTAATGAAAAATATTCCTTAGAAAAAACGTGTTCTGATAACATGGTATATGTCTTAACTGCAAAATTAATTTTAGATATAATTTGCATATTGCCCCAGTTTGAGTATAACTGGGGCACACACATTTTTTAGCTTTAGTGTAATATTTTCAGTCAAAATACCCTGCCTGTGAGGTAGTTACACTTTTAGATAGCATGATTTGTCATTTTTTTACATGGTCCCTGTATTATAGACTCAGGTTACCTGGAATTAAATTCTTCTACAGTTTCCCCACAAATCTGCTTGGTGCCTAATGTGCCTGGGGAAGACGAATTCTCCCCTGATTACAGTGAATTCACTGATGGCCAAGTTACATGATATAGCTGAGCCAATCTAACAGCTTGCTGCCACCAAGCAAGTGGCAAAAGTCATCTTGATTTACTTATTTTTCAGTCTTCTCCTCCTCTCGCTTCTCAATATTAATATCCCTAAAATCTTATGCTCACAGACATATGAGTGTACAGATAGTGTGGATATAGCAGGCTTGAGTTTCACTGCACCTAAGATACTAGTCCAACGCTGATATAAAGGGCAGTAAAGATGTTTACTGATCCTTAATTGCTGTTCACAATGTGTTTAGCACAGTGTAGATGGATTCCATTGCCTTTTGAAATGTGTTAAGTAGGAAGTTAGCTGAATAGAGTTTTGAATTTTTTAATTTTTCTCTTCACAAGATGCAGATGTGTTTTAGCATTTCTTTCAGTTATTAGATATTCCACTTTTTCTACTTGTTTAAGTTGTTCTTCACTGCTTCCTCATCTGAGATGCACCAACAACCCATGGAAGCTCTCTGACAATGCAAAATCAAACCTACTAATTTAGATCTTTTTCTGCAAATATTTAAATACTGTAATAAAACAAATAAAAACTGTTAAATTACATTACTTAGTTTTCCCATAATGTATTGACTATTATAACATTCCACAGATAGTTAATTTGCATCTTTCTCCCATGTAATTTTCATTTCACTGCTTTCCTTATTTGTGTTACTTTTAAGAGAAATAATAAAAAACCCCCACCCTCTAAACCCACTTGTTTTGTTGGGAGAACAAAAGCTTGAGTGGTCCACCAGAAATTACTTTAAAAAAATACTTCTTAAGTTTTCAAAATGTTGTTATGATGGTTTATTTACTTTGAAAAAATTTAAGACTGTTTATGTGCTGAGCATTTTGAGAGTGTTTATATACATTCCTGTTTATACAATTACGCTGTTTTTTCTTTCCAGAATATCCAACCTGCCAATGAAATACTTGTTGATGTAATAATGTTTTTGTGGCAGAAGTGTAAAACGGGACTTCAGCAAATCCAACTGATTGGAAGTGATTGCTTAAAATACATCCACAAATACAAAGCTTACCAAGTACTCCTTTATTATAATGCATTTCTCTTAATATAAATGCAGTCTGTTATAGTAAAGCCAAGATAAAATACTGGTGTCCCATATAAATGTATTTTCTTATGGTAAAATGCAGATGAATCTTCTTCACTGAAAATGTGAATTGTGTATACACTTTGAACACATTGTGCTGCCATATGCCACTATCAAAATATCTCTTAGCCTTTTCCCAGTGAAGTAACCCATTCTCTGCCAGTGGGTCATGGTGGAAAGAAGCTAAAATAGTGAAAGTATTCAGGCATGATGTAAGGAGGCGCATTTGATGTGTTGTAGTGGAAAATATCAGTGTATTTCAAGAAAGTTCCCTAGATCAGTTGAAGAAAGGGGCAAAAACCTTAAAGCTTAAGAAGAGAAGGGAGATGGGGGTCAATAGTGTTTGGTCCACTGGATAGAGCCACAGCCTTACCTTGAAGTTTTCCTGAGAGTGAGAAGCTCTTGGTGAAATACAGTCTTCTGAAGGATAATTTACACTAGTTCTCTGGGCTGCCAGTTGATGCTGACCAAACAGTTTCTGGAGGAGCTCATTTTGTGGCCCTGATCCTTCTAGTAAAATTGTTCAGAGATTCACCAGAAAGTAGTGTGCAGTTATTTTCCTCTGTATGTACAACAGGAGCATTCAGGTGTCTTTTATACTGTTTAAGTGGGAACATACAGGGATAAAGGAGAGGCAAATCATCAAATCTGCTGGAAGTCTTACCACACTGTGAAAAGATATAGAAGTTGTGTCCATGGAACATTCATAAACCTTTATAGAATAATAATTAAAAATATTCTAAAATTAAAAAGTATGCTGTTTGAATAAATAGGGGCTTTGGAGTAGCATAGATTCAGCATCTTAGTCCAGTGGCATTTAAAAAGAAATGCCAAATCCAAGAAAAGGATTGTGTCCATGTTTATGAATCTTTTTAAACAATTTTGAGTGCCAAAACCTATCTATCTCTGTAATACAGAAATATCTTGCAAAAATTTGTTTTAACTCTGTCTTGATTCTTTTTCTTTCCTGTCCCCCCATTTTTAGTGGGTTCATGTTCTCTGGATAATAAATGAAGTAATTCAGAAGAGAATCATAGCAGACATTGATGCTGTAATGCTTGCAGAGGTAACCTTATGTCTAACTGCAATATTGGAAAACGCAGCTGATTCTACAAGTAAGTCTAAGAAAAAAGCAGGTAAAACTTTCAACAAAAATTGTTTTCTTTCAAGAATGACTTTCAAGATTAGAACTTTTCTGAGATGAAAACATTGAAAAATATACATATTCAAAAATCATTGTAAAGAGATTGTTAAGAGTAGAATGATAAGCTTTTGTACACACAACCTCATCCATAATCAGAGCTAATGAAACCTGGTTTTCAAAGGATTTATGCCTTATTTCTTTAATTTTCAGTTTGACTGAAGTAACCCCATTTTGAATCACATCTTTTATGACTCACTGTCCCTGCAGGTCCTCACATGTCTCTTAGCCCCTTCAGAGTAGCCACAGATCATTCTTATTTTCCCTGGATATTGGTAGGCAGAAGGCAGCATGCGCTGCAGCTTATTCGGAGCATTCAAGTGCTGGTTGACTAGTGGCAGGCCAGACAGAAGAGAGAAATAGTGAGGTCATACTGAAGCTTTTGCTTTTATTTGGTCATTAATTTGGATCTCTTGTCTACACAAGTCTTCATTTTTTTATAGGTATTCAATTGTCTTTGAAATTGAATTTAACTTGGCTGACATTATTGGGATATAATGCAATTACAATCACATTAAACAAATTTCCTTCCAAAACTGGGCTAATGCTGTAAAATATGAATACTTAGACATACTTTTAAAAGTTTTCTGTGGTTGTGGATGTGGGACCTTGGAATATGAGTCATACTTCTCATAAATGTTTTACAGTAACTAGAGAGTAGATTTTAAGGATCATTTTAGAGTATATCTAGGAACAGAAGAGAATGACAATACCTATTGCTCTTTTGAAAATAAGACTACTTGGAACACTACTACTCATTGTAAAGGCACAGTAGGTTTTGTTTTCTGTGATGTTATGAATATTGTACCATTGTAATGGAGATTGGATGAATCCTCATTGTAGCATCACTGCTATTCTTTTTAATTCTGTTTAAAAGTCTTTTTGGAGGGAAAAAAGCTGAATAGATAGGAGTCATTGGTCAAAACAGGGTGATAAATAGCGAGTCAAGCACATGTTTATGCTGAGAAGAGTCTTTTTACTGAATGAATGCTGAGTGAATATAGGTTTTCTTATTTACGAGAAAGAGACAGTAAACCAGCAGAAATAAACAGGTAAAAGTGGCACAAGGAGTACAGGAGTGGCTAGAAGGTTGTCCCTCTGAAAGGGCAAAAAATGAATTTATTTTTGGTGAAGAAATAAAATTTTGACAGGCTAGAGGGCTGCAAACAAGATCAAAGAAACGGCTTCCTCTTGTTCTGGCTGCCTCCTCTTGTTGTGGAAAGTAAAACATAATTCTGGATGCATTCTGTATAAGTGAAAATAATTTAAAAAATCCAAAAGAACATTAAAAGGGTGATAATACCTCTTCAAGGAATATTAAATTGAAATAGTATATATATCATAAAAATATGACCATGCCTATTTGAAAATCCTCCTATAAGTTAAATTAGCATTCAAGCTACTGTGAATTAGATAATAATAGATCTGAATTTATTTAAATGTGGAAAATTGGTATGAATGCTACAACAATGTGAGGAACTACAAAATGATTCCAAGTTTCATTGGCTTGGATATAATGTTGCTATGAAATATTTGGTACATTTAAAAATACTGTGTTATTGGATAATCATACACTGAGTTAGTATAATTGTACCTATTGTGTTTAAACCCCAAAAAGCTTTTGAAGAAACAATATAATTACCTCTCATAGTCAAATACAGAAGAACTGAATTATGCCAGACTTTTAAGTTAGCAGTAGAGTTAATCAAATGGTACCAAATTTTTCTGAGTGTATTTCATTTTCACTTTCTGATTTTCTTCCTACAAAAAAGGAATAAGAAGTGCCTTTCTCTTACAAGATGTAACCTGTGATATTCCTGAAATACTGATGGTAATGTCTAATTCATTTTCATTAATTCAGTGTTTTTGAATAGCATAAGACCACTTATTTCTGCTTGAGGCTTTTAATACAATTTTGTATTTATTTATACAATGTTTATAGAATTTTGTACTTATAAATACATTTGTAGTTTTATAAAGCTGAAATGTTTCACACAGTCATGCTAGTACAGAGGAAAAAAGCAAAAGTATTTTTCCAAGTGAAATAAAACCTGAAAATTTTCCTGTAGTCTCTTATAGTAATCTGTGATATGGAAGAAGTTTTATTTGAAACTTCTTAACAGTGTGTTCATGCTGATTTCCACTCTATTTTATGCCAATGTATAATACCACTTTTAAATGGCGTAATAGTGCATTTTTTAAAGATCATACAAACTTTAATTCTTGTTTTATTTAGGAAAATATTTTGGTTGTGCTTTTGCTTGTTTGTTTTTGTAAGGGTGATGTAGAATAGACAGAACATCCTGAGTGTCCTTGCTTTGTTCAGTGAGTTCAATGCTCAGCACTTTGCAGAAGTGGCCAATCAAATAGTTCAAAATTACTTACTAAAACACATTGAGAAGACATACATTAGTCTGAAGATTCAGGAATTTTGTTAATGATATGTCTTAATGCTCGTGCACATGGAAAAGATTTAATTCAGTAACAGTCTACTTAAAGGTGATATTTTCTAAAAAATTGATGATTTTTTTTTTAACAGCATCCATCTAATGAAACATTGAACTCCTTGTGAAAAATACCGTGTTGACTTAATTCTCTAAGTTCAGTTCCATTCTTCTATAAGCTATCTTTTTGAGTTAGTAAAATAGTTTTTGAGATCTGAAGGAAAATCGGTCCTTGAAAATTAAAAATACTTGAAATTTAAAACATTGATATTAGCAGCTGAAAGCAATGGGAGCAGTGGCTATATAAAGATTATTAGACGGAGTTTAAACTGCAATAGCTAAAAATAGTCCATATTTTTGACAGTCCATATTATAGTTTTAGATGTTGTTATCCAATAAAACGCTTTTGCATGTGTTTTCAGAAAAGTCCTACAGAACAATTACAAATTGCTTATGAAAGTCTTGAGAAAGCAATTAATGGAATGAACACATCTCGCTTAATGACCCTTCTACCAGATGGAAAGTCGATATTCGACAACTGCTGTACAAAGGTAAAGTTTACAAAAAGCTACACTGCAACAAAATCTATAAATAATGTATTGGATTTTGATGACACACAACTCATATTTTCTTCATACTTAGAAATCTTGGCATTATCAAATGTACCTCATCTTCCTGCTTCATGTAAGAAGAGAACAAGGAAAATAAATCTCTGTGTAGTAGAAATAGTATTTTCCTCTTTCTGTAATAAACAATAAACTCTTTTAGATTTTCTTTGTAATTTTCTTTTGGGAATAATCATAATTTGTAGCTTTTTCTTATAAAATGAAAGCAGAAATCCTTTTCATATTTATTGCTCACAACTGTCTGCTATTAAAATTAATTTTTGCTGTTGAGGGGAGTTCAGATTTTCAGAATATTATCGATCTACACCAATATGATTGTTGTTTCGTGGACTGGTAACACAATAAAATACTTTTTCTGCAATTTCATATTTATTATTAACCCAGTTTCCTCTTGATTCTAGTTTTGTCTAATTTTCTTTGTTTGTCATCCATGCTTTCTCCATATAGTCATTTTCCTTCTTTCAATGTTTTCTTAAATGACTGTATATTACACAGATATGAGAAATTCCAGTGTTTGTAAATTTAATCAATAATATTACTGAAAAAATACTGAAATAATAATATCAAAGTCAAGATAAATGCAGTAAACTGAGTAATAAAAGTTTGTGTTTGCTTAATTGCTGCTTCCTATTTATTAGGTGGATTCAAATGATCAGTATTTGAATTCTGTTTTGGGATGTGGTAATGATAAGACAGGAACAGATAATGGTTTTGTAATGGATTTACACTTGGAGCTCATTCGGACCCAACATCGAATAGCTGTGAAACTTCTTAAAATCACACAAGGTAGGTTTCAGTAAAGCTAAATGATCTTCATAGCTTGACTAGAGTCCTCTATTAATGTAGTATGTAGTACTAAGAAAAAAAGGAGTATCTGCTTTCTGAAGAGGAGCTGATGTTGGGCAGTTTGTATGGCACGTAGAGACAAAAATAATGTACAGAATTTGCACAATTTAGATTTTCCACACGATGCCAGTCTCTAACCTCTGCTCAACCAATGGGAGTTAAGCTTTGCGAACAGCTACTGGATTTAATTCCTAGACAGTTTGCTGTGGTATTTCAGTTATGTTATTAGCTGTTACAGTGTCAGTAATGAAGAATTGGGGGATGCTCTGCAGAATTTTATTTTTCTGTAATGCAAATTTTCTCTCTAGTGAATAACTTGAATGTTTTATTCAATGCTCTTTGTAATCCAAAACTTCTACTCCTGTGGAATTGTCCTTATCTCTTCCCAGTCAGCAGATATTCCACTCTTACCAAATGCCTTCTGAAAAAGCTCTTCTTGGTCTGCTATTCCTGGTGTTCTTTTTTTTTTTTTTTTTTTTTTTTTTTTTTTTTTTTTTTTTTTTTTTTTTTTTTTTTTTTTTTTTTTTTTTTTTTTTTTTTTTTTTTTTTTTTTTTTTTTTTAAATTAAAAGCCAGTATTAGTTTGACACTGCAGAGCTCCCCTGTGCTCCCCCTATGATCAAGATCCCTTTTTTCCTGTGATGTTAGTGTAACTACTGAAGATGTGAGAGCATGAGGGCGGAATATTTTTAGTGGCATGATCAGTCCAAGAAATTCTCCTTGAATCAAAGAAAAGAACATGAGATGGAGCAGAGCTTTACTACAAAACTATGTATTAACCCCTCTCACTGAAAGTTTCTCAGTAGCGCTGGCAGAATGAATAACTAGGGATTTCCTTCCCACATAGGTGCTCAAAAGGATGACAGAAGTCTTAAGTCTAGCAAGTCTCATGTAAAGAACATTAAAGATTTCCATTATTTAACAGGTAAGGATTATTAATTAAGATTTTAGAAGTATAATAAATTATTGCTGCTGTTTTATAAATGTCTTATCTATTTTACAGAGGCACTTATAATGAGAAAAATAAAAAAGAATAAGCTATCTAGAGCAATCTTTTTGATGCAAAAGGCTGCACAGAAGTTCCCTGAAGAGTTAACCACTTCTTCCCAAAGGCAGCTACTGCAGGTAATAAAAAAAAAATCTTATGGTAGAAATCCTTTACCATTATCACAGTTTTTTGTGTTCTGTATAATTGATACTTGCATTACTCCTTACAAAAGAAGAAAAATGGAAGGAACTTGAGGGCCATTGGGTGTTTTTAACTCATGTTGTCAAATTTTCCCTGAAAAGTTTCATTATGATAAAAGAATAAAGTGACTTAAAACAAGGAAAGAGCACATCCCCAAATTTTGTGCACACATGCAGATTGCAGGAAACCTGAAAGAAGAGATGTTCTTTCTTTCTACACTTAATCACCTATTTAAATTATGAAACTATTTGTTTCCAAAATGTCATACAGGTTTCCTTCTCCCCATTGCAACCTTCAAGATCCTTCTTTTTCCAAGATCTGTAAGTTGTCTTAGTTTACTTTGGCTGGTGATGATTACATGGACTTTATTATATTCTTATTAAATGAACAGTTTAGTAAGTTGCAGATTTTGGAATTTAGTGAGTCTAAAAGATTCTTTATGGGCTCATTTCAAAGTCTTTTGAAAACAATGGGAGTCTTTCCATAGAGCTTTGTACCAGCATCTGTCCATGAAAATTGCCTTCTTGTCAGCGGACCATAAAATTTCTTTATAGCCTATACAACAGATAACAGAATCTGCAATTCACTATATAATATATGAAAGAGTATTTTAAACAAGAAGTTACTAGAAAGTATTCTTCTTTGAAGTGCTACAAATTTGGAAGCTGGTAATTAACATGCATATCAAGATCAGGCTGGATGGGACTTTGAGCAACCTGTTCTACCTGGAGGTGTCTCTGCCCATGGCAGGGTGGTTGGAACTAGATGATCTTTAAGGTCCCTTCCAACCTAAACCATTCTATGATTTTATGATGTACATTTATACCAGAAGAATGCAAAAACTGGATCAGAAAAGAAATACACTAAAAATCTCTCTCATACATTTGAAAAATGCATGGCATTTATGAATATAAGATATAGTGATATGGTATGAAAGTTGTAACTGTAGTCACCAATGAAGACATACAAGCAATTCCCAAGACTGTGGTTATCCCAAACAAACATTTGCAAAGGCTTTATACTGACCTTCACTATATTTTACTATTGTGTGCTTTTCACAGAGAAATATGTAGGTAGAAGTATGTAATATATTTTCGGCCAGTTGCCAGAAAATCTTAGAATTAACTTTGCCTGGACAAACTTAGCATGGTCTTCTTTGATATTTGTACTATGGTTAAATATTTAATTATATGCTTAATTAATTTTCCTTCTTGAGGTGGGTGGTACTCACTTCATGAACAGCAAATCCATACCTTTCATGCTTCTGAGTAGACAATTTTGCTTTTTTTTATCACAGAACATCATAATAAGAAATATGTCCTCAGAGAATAATGAGTCTGTGATTCTTTTAATTAAAAACAGTATCATGTACAGATTGCTACAAAGAAGTGTAATTTTTAAGGAAGCAATGAAGTTTCTAATTACTGATTGCAAAAGTTGAATATATGGAGTATAAGGGAAACAGTAATTCCATTTTGTTCTTTATCATATATTCTTTCTTAAACATTTCTCACTAGGGTGGATGCAAACCTAGTTTAAACAGAGTAGGTTGAAATGAGGGGATGTGCAAATTATGAGGTATGTGATGTGATTAAGGCTTTAGTAAAACCTTAGCTCCCCATTTCTGGATAAATTATAGGACTGTCACTGAATAACCTATAACTTGCAATTTTCTTTTTCAGTTTATCTTTCAGACTCACTTCAGCCTAAACGCTTGGTCCAGTGTATTGTACTAAAATCTTTCAAATAAAACCCCTAGTTATAGGAATATAACATCTCTCCCTTCTTCAAAAAGAATGTAATTTATCCAAGTCATCCCCGATTTCTTAAGCTCTGGGAGCTGGCCATTTTAGCTTTGATTTGTGCTGGACAGCTGCCACAAGTAAAGATATAAAAGTACTAAGCTCTGAATATTAAATTTCCAAGTTAAGTTTCTCTTATCCTGACAATGCAAACAAGGTGAAGAAACTTACCAATCTGCCATTCAGCCTAGGAAGAAGGAAATGTACCCTGATCTCCAACCAAATGGCCACATAATCACTGTGTGCAGGAGTCCCCCACATTTTTGGAACACAGTAATAGTGTGTCAGTCAGCTCCCACCAAGGGAGTGGTTTAGCCCTACTTTTTCCACCCGTGCATTCTCCTCCCTTTTCTTTATTTCTGGACTTTATTTCTTTCCTCTAATTCCGGAATACAGAAAATCAGTGTAATCACTTCCACAGCTCCTTTAAGAATTCCACAGATTAGGTCTCCAGCTCTCTCCTAAATAAGAGTTGATACCTTTTGTGTTTCTTGGTGGAGCTAATTACTGGTTGCCACTAATTGCTAATCAATATTATTTGTGATCACTGTCTTTTTTCCTATAGGTTCTTCCAAAACTGGATATGCCTCAGCACTGCCTCTTTCATATACAACCCTTCATTCCCTTTATTGTACACTGTGAAATTTATCTGCACATGTAAGGCTTAGACAAAGTACCATTCATCCTAATTTAGGATGTAGCATGATATGAAAATCTACAAAAAGTTTTCTACATAGCAGTGAATTTTTTATAAGGTCATTTTGAAAACCATTTCTAAGTGTTAAATCAGTCTGGTTGTTATATTCTAATAGTTCTTCCCTTTTTTTTTTTTTTTTTAATTTAAATCATAGGAAGCACTAACTCTAATTGAGCAAGTTGAAGCTGAACAAAGTGCATTATATCACAGTCTCACAGAAGCTATGAGCAGCAAGAAAAAAAGCAGGACTCCTCCTCCTCCTCTGTTACTTTCTAGATCACATTGCTCCATGACATTTAAACCAGCCCCATTCTCTTCAGATACTCAGGTAATATTTTTCATGATGATTGCCTAAGAAATAATTAAACAATACAAAAGAGAGCAACAGTGCTATACCGTCATAATTCTCTCTGTTGTTCTTGAGAAGATTATGTTATTCTGACTTAATGAAGTCTGCCTTTTTTTTCCCCCTCTGACTCAATTGTGACTCATTGTTTTGATCTTCACATTTGCATGAAACTTTTCTTTGCCTCATGCATCATGATCTTTTTGTTGTGTAACACTTACTTATTCTACTTGCCAAAAGCTCATTCTCTTGCTTAGGGGGCTGACATACTCCTAGTTACCCTCGGAACAGATGCAAGGCTGTTGCACCATATGATGCAAGAAAGCACAACACTGAAGTGCCACAGTTCAGGTGGAAAAAAATCTACCTTCTGTTTAACATGTAGAATCACAGAACTACTTGGATCTTAAGGGATTTTAGGAGAGGTCTCTAGTCCAACCTTCTGCTCAAAGTAGGGTTGGCTGTGAAATTAGACCAGGTTTCCCATGGATTTATCTAGTCAGTTCTGAAAAACTCCAAGGATGGAGCCTGAACAGCTTCTCTGGGCAACCTATTCCAACAGGGCAGCCTGTTCATGGGGAAAACCTCTTTCTTTAAGTAGAATTGGAATCTCTCTTGCTTCAATTTAGGTCTATTGTTTTTCATCTTCCTGCTGTGCACTACTGTGAAAAGCCTGGCATATTGCTGGCTCACGTTCAGCTTCGTGTCTAACATGACCTTCAGATCCCTTTAGTGCTGGCCCCCGGCCTGTATCCTTGCAAAGGATTCTTCCTTCCCAGATGCAAGACATTGCATTTGTCCTGAAATTTCATGAGGTTCCTGTTGGCCCATTCCCGTGAGCTCTCTAGATTCCTCTGAATAGCAATCCTGCCCTCAAGGCTATCAACTGTTTCCCTCAATTTGGCATCATCTGCAAACTTGGTGAGGGTGTGCTCACTTTTTTCCTTAAGTCATTGTAAAGACATTAAAAGGACAGGTCCCCTTGTTACCACCCTCCAGGTCGAATACAACCATTAAGAATTACTCTCTGATTCTGACCTTCCACCCATTGTTTTACCCATTTATCTGTTCACTCCCCCCTACTGTATCATCCTAACTTGAATATAAGAATGCTGGGAGACAGTGTTGAAAAAAGTCTTGCTTATGTCAAGGTAAATGGCATCTTCTCCTCTCCCTTCTCCTGTAAATCAAGTAATTTTGTCACAGAGGCCAATCATGGTGATTAGCCATGATTTGCCCTTGGTAAATCCATGCCGTCTCTTCCAAATCACCTTATTCTCCTTTATAGGTCCTGAAAGTGGCCAAACAGGCTGAAGTATGAAAAATTTACTAGCTGCAGTTTTCTTGAGGGAAAGAATTTCATAGTGATTTTGCAAGCTGCTTCAAAATAACAATGTGTATAAAACCAATAGAAACTCAAATCATATTAATAGTATTAAGAAAGTTTATATTAACAATAGTTTTATAACTTGCTGTTGTATTGCAGTTTGATTAGTGAATTTCAAATCAATTAGGGAAATATTCTTTATTTTTATCCCTCATGAACATAAAAAAATACAATTCTTTAAATTCTGTTAGTTCATCTGTTTTAGTTAAGTGTTAATACTTCATTTTGTTCAATACAGGAGAGTGAATGTAACATATTGGGCCACTAGATGGTGCAATGAGATTGTTATTCTCATAATCTGAGCCCAGATAGTCTAGATTTTTTTTTCCTAAAGATTCTGCCTTGGTTTCAGGTGGGATACAGTTAATTTTCTTCCTAGTAGCATACTGGGTTTAGTATGAGAATAATGTTGATAACACATATTTATTTGTTGCTAGGTAATGCTTATATTAAGTCAATGACCTTTTCAGTTTTCCATAGAAGCTGAGAGGGTGCATAGACAGGACAAGATGGCTAAAGGAATATTCTATACCATAGGCCTCATATCCAGTATATAAATGGGGGTTGGCCAGGGAGCAGGAGTCCACGATAGTTTCTCAGGACAGGCTGGGAATTGATTGTTGGGTGGTGAACAATTGTATTGAATCACTAATTTTGTATATTCTTTTACCATTATTATTATTATTATTCTCTTCCATTATTGTTCTATTAAACTGTCTTTGTCTCAACCCATGAGGTTTTTTTTTTCCTTTTTCTCCCTCTTCTCCCTGCCCTACTGGGGGGGCAGAGAGGAGTGAATGAACGGCTGCGTCATCCTAGTTGCCAGCTGCAGTTAAACCACAACAGATACATGTAACTGTTGAACAGAAATGAAAGGTATTTTTTATGAAAAACTTATTAACTGGAAATCGATACTTAGGATTTAATTAGACGTGTATAGTTCTTATAGTAGAAGTTGAATTATCTCTAAAATTTCCTGATCTAAAAGTTGCTCATTTGTTGAAAATAATCTCCTCTATTTCAATATCTCCTTCTGAAAAACAGTCAGGATTCATTGCAAGAAAAATCATGTGTATAACAAGAAAAATGAACAATTTAGCTGTTCAGAATTTTTGTATGTTGAAAAACGACCTCATCTGCTGAACCTCAAGTCTGTTTAAATGTCTGCTGAAAGTAAATAGAAAATATAGTACTTAATAGAAGAAGTTTAGTGCAAGAGAACTTTATCAGATGCATATCTTGCTGAAATCCATCTGCCCAGTTCTGCAGAGATGAAATCAAAATTAGTGTCCATGTTCCATGATCTCACTGGACATGATTTAGCTCTGATCCAGGAATGCATGCTCACATCCTTCCTTGATTGAAGACATTGAAAAGTGTAGATTATAAAACTAATGAGATTATCAGAACTCGATGGCATTAAAAAAACATTGATTTAATCAATAAGTAAGAGCATGGCTTGTTTAGAAAATATTACTGCATTACACCATATCTGCATTTCTGTTGCCTGCTTATAAGGATTTGTCCTCAAGCAGTTGTTGAATCAGAAGCTGATGTCAACTTTAGAAGAAAACCATTGCAAGGATCAAATAAGGGATCTAGATTCCTTTAAATCTACAGGGTAGCTCAAAGTAGGAGATAGGATAATAGGGAGTCATCTGCTTTTATTCCTCCTGTAGCGTATCTAGTTCTCCAGCTAAATCAATTAATGTTTCTAGTGCAGTTGGACTATACATTTTTATAACTAATCTTTTTTTCATAGACTGTTTTCACAAAATCAGTACATTATGCATTAGGGAAAAGTTGGAAATTCTATTATGTATCAGCTAATTTTGTTTTCGTTTTCTTCAAAGGTTTCATGGTACAGTATTTTTGGCTGTGTAGCAGGAGGCAGTAATATGAAAGTAAGGTTAAATAACAATAAACTTCCAAATGCAGGAGAAGAGGTAAGACAGAGTAGAACTCCTTTAGGTCATTCTCTCTTCCTTTATACACCTCCAACTTTCCAAATGTATACATCTGACATCTGTTTTAATCAAGTAACTGGCCAAGCCTTTCACAAACCTTTTGATCTTTATTTTAAGCAATTGAAATTTTGATAGGCTGAAGGCATACCGAGACCACCAAAAAAGGTCTAGGAACCTTTTTTTGAATAATGAATTAAATGATTCAAAAGCTTCATGTTAGACAAGTCTCTATCCCTTCTGTTATTTTTTGAGAGATACCTAAGAAATACAAAAGAAAAGTACATGATTTATTTATGGACCGTACCCCAGACACTAGTCTTTCCAGGGATTCAAAAAAGGGAAATTCTAAAAAGATGTAAGATTTAAAGTTTTTCTTAATTGGGTAACTTCTGTCAGCTGTTTCTTCTTAACAAGACCTTACTATACTTAATTCTGGCACCATGATAATGTAACTCCTTCAATAACCTTCATGTTCAGACATGATTGACTTCTAGGTTCCTGCTCCTTCCCTCTCATGCTGTAAACATGTGATACAACAAATCAGCCTACACATCTTTGGTTGCTTATCTGATCATGTGACTGTGTCAGTATTCTTTAATATTACTTCTCCATTACAATTTGTTATTTTATTTTCTAAATTGGGATTTTTTGTTTTGCGTTAGTGTAGTTTCTTGCCTTCAGATCACACTCTGATGTTCCTGCACAGATTGAGAAGGTTTTTTTTTCATTCAGTTATGCATGTTATTGCGCTGTCCACCTGCATGAGAACTCTGATCCACCCAAATACTCTGAATTTTGGGTTTTAAGAAAGGTACAAAAAAGCTTCATCACATGCTCTGCAGCAAATTTTACTGTAGTCTGAAACCTGAGTGATCATTTTTACATCTGCAAATCTTCTTCATGAAGAGTTCTGTTCTTTGCAGGTCAGGTCTCTATTTTACATTGTGACAGGAGAATGATCTCAACAGCTTTTGCCCAATGTTTCAAGCTTTCCTGGTTTTGTGAGCGAGCTCCGTACTTACACTGATAGACTTGTGTTTAGTGATGGAAAGGAAATCTTCCCCTTGGCACCTGTTCTCTTTATCTCCTCCCCCAAAAGGAAGGTGTATAAAAAGAGGTGTGTGTAGCTACTGGCAATAGAAGCTTTGATGTTATTCTTGATATTCTTATGATCAAATCCAGAGAATCAAGCTTCCTGCCATGTCCAGTGGGCTAGTTTCAATATACCATCTCACTCCCAGGGAATTAAGTGTTTTGTTGGAGACTTTTACCCCACTGTTCTTTCTGAGAACTCACTGCAATCTGTCCAAGCCACTGACTGTCTAAGCTCTTGCAGGTGCTGGAGATGCACAGACGTGAGGTTAAGCGTATGCCTCAGCAATGGAGCTTCTGATTGCTTTAGGATATGCTTTTGCAAAATACTGATCTGCAGACAAGACACTATCTGCCTGCTCCACAGGAAAGGTTTAGAATTCTTAGTGGTGGAATGATCTATCAACTTACCAACATGAGAAAACCTTGATCTAAAGGGATACTATAGACTGTCTTACATTAATTTCTGGTCTGCTCGTTCAGGATTTAGCCTCAACATTTGAAGGGATTTCTGTTGTTCAGAGGTGTCCTTATGGAGGCCAAACAGTATTTGAACAGCGCAGTGTCAATGCTACATTACAATTATCTTGTTTCCATGTTGTGCTTCAGTCACTGTGTCAGTTGTTTGTTGTTTCAAGACCCTAAAACTTTCCATTGTGTAAATTGTGCTGGTTATGAAAGGGAAGGTGGAAAAGCCTGTTAGGAGTGAACCATGGTGTTAAAGTTCAGGTGGACAATTACTTGAAGGAAAAATGATCTTGAAAATAGATTGTCTTTATACATATTTACAAACTCCGAAGTCCTGTTAATGATGCTGAGAGGATCTGAAACATCCTCTGCCTGTATCTAATACATGCATGTGGCACGTATGGAGGAGATCATAGGCACTTTCTCTGGAAGCATAGCTCAGGGGTAGTATGTTTCCAGCTCAGTGACTGCAAGCACGCATGCTCACTGTATGAATGTGCAAATGGACAAAAATGTTTTAGAGAAATTCCAGGTCCTGGTACTTAACTGTTCTTTTAGGTTATGTGCACTGTTTATTCAACTGCATTCCAGAGAATGATACTTTTTTTGCCTGTCGTTTCATTGTTTTCTCATTGTCCTCAAGAACCTAATGCTATGTGGAAACATGTCATGTCTGTTAATCTAGGTTGTACTTTGATCGTATCTAAGACCATTAAATGATTTATCTAAGAATAAAAGTTTAGATTTTGAGATTTGTTTTTGATATGTACAGTGGATGTAACTAGAAAATATTTTTATTGATAGATACCAGCTGATGGGAAAAGCCTCTTGGAAATACAAGGCTTAGATCCCAATGAGAAATACATATTTGCAGTTGCAGCATATTCTTCTGATGGAAAACTTATTGGTGATGCCATTGGAGAAACAACTAAGCCAATCCTCGCTTATCCACCTCTTTCTGCTACTACTGTTCGAGCCTATCTAACTGAGGTAGGATTAAGGTCTTTGATAATAAACACGTACTTCAGTTTGGTTGTAATTACTTGTTTTCACTGGTAGCTCTAAAACTTCAGGTAGATACTTAAAAATTTCTCCCCAAAAGCTTGATAACCACAAATCACAATTTTAACATAACAAATGGTATATTTGAGTAACTTGGTTCTTAATTCAAAATCATTGGATCAATCATTAATTCAAAATCATTTCAGTTTAAGGGGAAAGATGGCTTTCAGCTAGTTTTCTTACCCCAGTTCCTGTTTTTCAGCCTGCATTTAACTTCTTTCTTCTTTTTATAATTTTTTTTTAATTATTTTTGTGATTGAGACCAAGTGCTAGGAATCATCTTAGTCATTACAGTATAGGATGAAGAATGTGATTGAACTTGCCAGGTATCAAATCCAAACATTTTCATATTGACATTATTTTTGTACTGTCTTGTGGAAGATCACAAGCTCTGTCAGACCTTTATCATAATTGTCTGTATTCTTAATAAGAAAACTTAAAACAGATTGTGACGTGGAGAAAAGTGAAATTGTCTAGCCCTATAGATCAGATCAGAGGGAACTGTTAGAAGATTTCCTAAAATCTTCTAAAGTAAGAGGTATCCACATTAATTTATGCCTACTTGTGTGGCTCTGTTTACATCCCATTATCCAGAGCAGCAGGGCATTTTCCAGTATAAGCAAAAGTAAAATGAACCTAGATGAAATAATAGGCCTTCAAAAACGGCAGAACAATACCTGTAAAGTGTTCCTCAAAGGGCTGTTAGATCCATGGTTAACAGTCAAGAAACACTTTTGCCTTCTCTGACGCTAATTCTGAAGGAAAACTAATATTAGTAGAATAAGATTGCGACTACTGTTCTATTCAAATATTTTAGAATATTCTTACAGAAATTGTAAATTTAGATGTTGGAGGGGGAGTTCTAAAACCTTTCTTTATACTATAATCTAATTTGGCTTGGTTATTTGTTGAACATGGAAACTTGCTAAATTTTTTTTTGTTATTGTTTTTTTTTTTGTAGGTAGCCTATCAGACTGGCAACTACACATTAGCCAGAGAAGCATTTGCACCAATGTGGGATTATTTTGTTTCAAATTCTTCTCCACTGCCTGCCAATGCAGCTGTTATTTCTGCAAGTAGTAATTTGACTATATGTGAAAACAGGTAACTGGCAAAAACAAAGTTAAAATAACAGTTAATTATAGATGGGCATATTTCATTTTTAGGAGTACCAGGTTGTGAAATTTGATCAGATTTGTGATGTGGAAAACATTCTGAATAAAAAAAAGGCGTGAAATGTGTTATAAAAATACAGTGTTTTATAATTAGTAGAGCTTTTTTGTTATTTATGGAACTGCTAGCATTTACATACTTAATTCTTTATAAAGATTGTTTTCTTAAGATAATTGGGAAACATTTATCAAGTAGCTATTAATTCTGTGTGATGCATTTTCATCTACAAACTATGTAATATGCACTGTGTTCTTGACTTTCCAATTAAGGGAGCAGTAGAGTTCAGAAATGCTGAAAATTTTGTCAAGAACACCAGCCAAAATGGGTAAATCCTTGCTAATTTTGTTTTGGGGCAGATAGACATCTGCCAACATTGTTTGAATATACTAAAGTGCTTTAAAAGATATATTTAAAATTAATTCATTTATACATAAATTTCAAATGTTCAGTCATAATATTATATGTTTTCCATTATGACAAAGCCCAACTAGAAATTTTGTGGTTGCATTCACTGAAATTCAATAGATCCAAATGCAAAAGCACATCAAATCTTAATTATTTCCCAGATAAAAGAAAGAGACTTGTATGAAATGATAGACATTGAATACTATAATAAAAAAAAAGAGTACTTTTAGATGTTAGTCAACTGCTTATAATTTGATAATGAATTAACATCCAATATAGCTGAGCACAAATCGCCTTTTTTGCCTGTGTGGAATCCTTTTTAGACTACTTCTTTCATTAGGGAAGTTTTGGCAAACTTGTGGGGGAGGTACGAAACAGTTTTGTAGCATCTCTGTTTCAATTTTGACAGACTGGCTTGGTCTTCAAACCATAATGACAAGAAGCAACCTTACTGCATGTGTATTAATAGTTCTTGAATGTTTCAAGAAATAAAGAAGAAATAAAGATTTTTGTTTCAAGAGATAGATATTGGGGGGATTTCCTAGCACTTTCGTCATAATACTCCCATTTCCACTTTACAGACAGAACAAGCGGTAATCAGCTATTCAGAGACCTATAATGTAGCTAGAGTTTTTTCTGCATTGTTTGGATTTGCTTGCATCAGAGCCCACCGTTTTCTCATGGTAATGCTGTTTGGACGCAAGCAGACAGTGTAAGCTTGTGTGTGCTTTGAATCCCGTTACAGGAGAAAGCAATGTGTCTAAGCGTACTTCTTGTTATTTGGGGCTCAGCCAGACCACTGGCGTGTATCCTGTCTGTCCTTCAAGTGCCACCATGTGTCTGATACTAGGCATACAAATTGACCGAGGGGCTCGATGGTACATACCACAAGAGCATTTGGGATTTACAGACAGCCTGTGGACTGCATTGATGCAGGAAGATAATCACTAGACATCCTATTTCATGACTGTGGGTGTTTTGAATCTATCCCTGGGCTGGGCAATGAAGCAGGAATACAAGTCTGATCATTGTATCATTGTGCTTTATTTTTTTCTTTTTTTCTTTTTTTTTTAAAAAACACGTACAGCTCTAGACATAAGATTTCAATCAAGCTGCTTTCAAATAAATAAGAAAATCAAATTAAGATAGCAAATTTTAAACAGCTAAATGGCAAGCAGTTCAGGGATTTTACTTTTCTGACAGCTATGTCCAAGCCTAATTTTTTTTTTTTCCAATTAATATGGAACATTCTCAAAGCTGCAGCATCAGACCTGAAATAAGGCAGTTTTAGTCTTGCTGATTGGTAGCTAAGAAATCAGTTAGACTAGGTTGAAAGTACAGAGGAATTAAAGAGGCAGTAGAGGGAGCTGGAAGGAAAGGAAACCTCTTGTTTCCAGCCGGAAGCCCTGTTCATATCCTGGTAATGTCAAGTATGTGAATGTGTCTACTTTATCTTCCTTCTTGAGTTTCAGTCTCTTTTAGGAAATAGAATCGAAAAAAGGAGGAATTTACTTCTTACACTTCAAAATAATAGGATTTTTCCTATGTAGCAAAAATATTTTAAAAAATATAACAAGGATAAATGCCCCCTTGCCCCCAGGGAAGGAAAAAACCCAAACAACAAAAAAGCAGGTAGAAGAAAGATTCTTTTGATAGTTGTAACACGAGACATCAGTGATGAAAAGCAGTCTGATATTAATACTTAGTAATGGGCTTCACAACTGCATGCATCATTGACAGAATACAGAAAAATAATTGTAAAAGAAGTTTTCAAAGAAAGTTCAAAGTAAGTTTCACTGGATTAGATGAAACAGCAAAGGAAAAGCTGTCTTAGGATAGTAGAAGATGGACAACAATTTGAAAAGGAGTGTTAGCCCTTTTATTTATTTATTTGTTAGAAATTTTAAGTTATTTTTTCAGGTTTACATGTAAGTCTTCTTTCCAGAAGTAGTACAGTAATATTTTTTGTCTGTAATTTTAAAATTAAAGACTGCATTTTAATATAATACAGCTTCAGTTACGAGTGTCAGAATCATCATTAACATGCTTTTACCATTCTTTTGCCTTTTTATTTTGTAGGTTACGTATTGAAACTGTGTCTCAGACTTCTTCTATTACCTTGCACCTCTTTCTGAGGAACATATTTGCTGTCTCTGACATTAATGTCATGGAAGGAGCACTCTTCTGTGATTCCCTCTGTTCCAATGAGATACTTTATAAGGAACAAGTATGTATGGCTTAAAATAATATAGTGGGTTTGATTTTACTTTTTGATCAGCTTTATTTCATCGTTGCGAGATAGATGTTGCAATGTAATAGTCCTATTTACAGAATACTCCATTTTCTGTGAGTTATCTGGTCTTCCTTTCTGAAGTATTTTAGTAGCTATTGGTTATTTTGTATCCTGGTGGAAAGACGGTTTCTGAATCAGTTATTGCCTAATCCAAAGCCCCCTGATTCCAACTGAGGAAGGATTTTCCTTCACTTCAGTGGTGGTAGACTATAATTTAAACAAGAAATATAATTATTGTTATTTTGCCCACTAAGATGCCCCTTGGATTTTTAGTTCTAAACATTTCTGCTATTTAATACATAAATTTTCATTAATATTGAATTTCTAATGGGATTTCATGGTTTTAATATACTAAGCTTCTTTTATCTTGTTTCAGACTTTTTTATAGTATCATGGCATGTAAATGACACAAAAACCATTTCTTTTTTATATGAATAGTCAAGCTTTGCCTCCTGTATTATTACATTCTTATTCCACTCTTCCTTTGCTGAAGTCTTTGTCTTGGAAATATGTGAGCAGTCGATTACTCAGTGACTTTACTGGATCTGCTCATACCTGCAAGCACTGCAGCAGATAACTGGAAGGGAAAGGAATTGTTATCCTTCCCTAACCTACCATGAGAGGTTAGCATGTGAAATTTCCACTCCACACAGGTTGATGTTGTTAACCAGGCTTTGTAAATTATATATGTAAATTCAGAGGGCACAATTAGGTCGAGAACAACTGTTTCCTTTAGAATCATGAACAATGTTGCACTTGTTTATATACTTATAACAGGTGTCAATGTAAATTCATTTTTGAACTTTTAAGTAAGTGCTGCTTACACTGTGTTTTAAACTGCAATAACATTTCACTTTCAAATGATTTAAAACAACAGAATTAATATTTGAATCAAAATGTGTATTTCTTTTACAGGTTGCTAGATTAGCAGAATGTGAAAGAATGACTGTGGCAATTGAACTCAGCAATTGGTTGAATGATGCAAGTTACACCCTGCAGTCTGTTGTACAATCTTATGGTCTCCTTGCTCCAATTATTTATCACAAGATTTCTTCTGTGCCAGTAGTTCAGGTGAGAGCATTTTAAGACAAAGCAGCTGGCATCCAAGTCCTGCAGTTACAGTGATTAAAATTAAACTTATAATGGAGTGTACAGTGGGGGAGTTAAATATCTAGGCTTTGGGTTCTTAATAGATGCTAAAGAAAAGCCCTTTATGGTTTTACATGTTCCCAATGCATATATGTTTAGTGAAAGCTGCACAGATTCTGCCTCAGATATGCTAAAGTTACTGCAGAATATTGATTGTTTCTTCAGGATGATTTGTTGGTATTTTCAAACTAGAGTGTAATCTACAATATAACTGCCACTGGACTGCCATTTGCAGATGGCAACTTTGAGGAAAGAAAGGTGGCATTTGCCTATGGCTTTTTTTTTTAATGTTTGCTTCATATACGGTTTTCTTCTTAACAAAAAAAAAAAAAAAAAAAAAAAAAAAAAAAAAAAGTAGTGTTGCCTAACCCTGGACAGACAGAAAAAAATGTGAAAAATCTTAACCAGATTCCAAATGTCCAGCCCAAAATCGGAGGGTGGAATTCTGATCCTGTTCAGATGAGCAGCCCGCC